GTGATTGAAGGTGCTTGCAGCTAAGGCATCTGTGCTTTTTTCCACTTAGGAAGCAGCAGATGCATAGGCAATAGATGCCTAGGCATGTTCCTCACTGAAAACACACCATACCTCTCAGAAACCTCTGAAAGAACAATTAAAACAAATCTTCAGGTCTGCAATGAAAAAATCTGGAAGCACAACCTTCAAATTAGCACCTCAGACATCACAGAGTAACTGCTCTAGTCAGTTGACTTGGCCAATCTGCAATTAGAAGGCTCTCTGAAGCCCCTTATAAGCAAAAGTGAAGGAGCAGAAGTTCATTTTTGAACAGAGATATCAAGAAGATAAGAAAACTCCCTTAAGGAATCAGTGAAAGTCAGATTCTTGTCTTAAAGAAGGCATTGGAAAAAGAAAATCCCAGTATTTCATTAGCCAAAAGCCACAATATGAGGGCTGCAATGAAAGGGGAAAAAAAAAAGAAAGGAAAAAAAAAATAAAGGAAAAAAAGGGTAATATGAAATTTTGTGGGGAAAAAAAACCTAGGGTTATGATAGAGACTGTATAAACATCAGTAAGTATGTCCAAAAGAATCTGTGCTCTTATTAATCATAACTCTACAATGATAATAAGACCATCTTTTGGAGTGAAAACAGTCATCACTGTCACATGCTCCATTATGGAAAGGATTTATGTGGTTTCCTCTTAGCAATGTAAACCAAGGCTTGAAAGGTTCCACGTGTTTTGATTTTCAAAGCCCTCTTATGGCAACTACCAGGCATTACAGTGCTAATCCACATTCAAAAACAGCAAGAAATACTGGAAGAAATGAGTATTGCTCCACAGTGTTTCAGCATAACAAAGAGCTGAAAGTTTAATAAAGCAAAGGATAGTAGCTTTAACTGAAATTATGGGTCATACTCCTTTGCTTTAATGTTGGCATGTTCATACCAAAATTTCTTGTAATACCTTGCAGAAACTATAATGAATTGTATTCACAGCAAATCCCTACTTCATACCTCAAATCACAGTTCTGTATTTGATGCAAAATTTGGACTCAAAGCCCATGTTAATAGTTCTGAGCCGAATTTGTACCATTTTAATGCTTTTTATTACCTTTATTTTAAATCGAGGCTCTCTTCAGGGACATTGGTAGTTACAGTCTCCTGTAACATTGGTAGTTACAGTCTCCTGTGATTGCTAAAAGGAATCATTCTATCAACCCTATCTCATTCTCTTTGATTTCAAGTGAACAAAAGGCCATGTGTACCCAACCCTGCTACATTCATTTTTCATCTGTTTTGTTTAAACAAGCAATTACTTTATTTTCATAAATGACCTCGTTAGCACAGAGTTACTTGTATCTGCAGTGTAAAAAATGCTCCATAAAAGACAATTCTACTTCATATCAAACCAGTCAAGACTTTTCAAGCTACTACTTGATACACAAATATACCACCACATGCCATTGAACCTGCTCAACTTTTTCTTATTTACTTGTAGAAATTGCCTGTCTTTCTGTTCAAAAAGACACCTCAAAAAGAGGGTTGATTTACAGGACATACTGATGGAGTCAGACTTTGCTAATGACCAAACATAATGAAGTTACATTTTTATCCTGGTATCTCCATCAGGCCACTTTAAAGAGGAACTAAAGTTCTTCTACACAGTTCACAAGACTCTTTCAAAATGTGCAGTATTTCCTTTTGTCAACTGGCATGTTTTCAGGGCAATTCCTCTCGAGCCATAACAAATAGGAAGAAACATGAAAGTATAATAATGAAAAAAAAAACCTACCACAAGATCAAATATTACATTATATTTGATGGTTTTTTTTAAATATGTACCCAGTAAAAAAAAATCTACAGTTTGAGGTCAACACCTCACAGAGAAGTAGTCAGAAGACTATGTTTGTTGCAATGCTACTTGCCATAATACAAAATACAAAATGACCACCTGTAAATTATTCTTTCGGCAGGACTTTTAAAGCATGGAGAGATACAAACATGGAAGTGTGAATTTTGGCCTCAACTAAAAAGGAAATAGTAATGAATCTGGTAAAATGTACCATAAAAGTAGGGCCTTCTTTTTCGTCTACAGACTTTCAACAACACCTTTATCAAACCACACAGCTAACAAAATAGAGAGTGCTTTTCTCTTAGGATGGTCTGGGTTTGAAAGTCATCTAGCCAAACCCCCCTACAATGAGCAGACTTCTTCAACTAGATCAGCTTATTTTAGTGCCCCATCCAACCTGACTTTGAATGTTTCCAGGGATGGGACATCCACAACCTCTCTGTGCAACCTGCTGCAGTGTTTCACCAACCCATTATGAAAAATGTCTTTATATCTAGTCAGAATCTGTTCTACTTCAGTTTAAAACCATCACCCTTTGTCCTATCACAACAGATCTTTTAAAAACTCTGTCCTCAAATTTTTTATAAGTCTACTTTAAGTACTTAAAGCCTGCAGTAAGGTGTCTTCAGAGCCTTCTCTTCTCCTGGAGAACCCCAACTCTCTGTCCTAATAGTGAAGGTGCTCCAGCTCTCTGACCATCTCTGTGGCCTCCTCTGGACTCCCTCCAGCAGGTCCCTGTCCTTCCTGTGCTGGGAGCCCAGAGCTGATGCAGCCCTGCAGGTGGGGTCTCAGCAGGGCAGGGCAGAGGGGCAGAATCCCCTCCCTGGCCCTGCTGCCCACCCTGCTCTGGATGCAGCCCAGGACACGTGTGGCTCTCTGGGCTGGGAGTGCCCATGGCTGGGGCATGTCCAGCCTCAGCCACCAGCACCCCCAAATTCCTCTGAGCAAGTATGATGATTCTGTGTCTTTAACACTGCTCATTAAACTTATGGATAAACTTTATCATTCCCTAGATTCTCCCTTGCAGTCTTCATTGAATTCCTTAAATTGATTCTTAATCCCACAAACTGGGAAGAACTTTCTTGGAGAGAGTTCTTGATCATAAAGAATTTATGATCAAGAATTTATGAGGAATTGCCCTGAAAACATGCCAGTTGACAAAAGGAAATACTGCACATTTTGAAAGAGTCTTGTGAACTGTGTAGAAGAACTTTAGTTCCTCTTTAAAGTGGCCTGATGGAGATACCAGGATAAAAGTGTGTGTCTCCTGCTGTGTCCCACTAAGCTAAAAAAGGGTTACCCAATGCCAGAACAGCACTTGGGGCAGGAAGAAGCACTTCTCCAAGCAGACATGTCCCCAAGACCTGAAGGTACATCATACTATAATCGTAGACTCATATTATAGCTACCAGTGCACAGCAGGACTCCCAGTTCCAAATGACCTGGAAGCTGTGCAGGGAGATCTGACACAGCACAGCTCTCTGCAAGAGATGCTCAACTGCAGGCCCTCACATGTTTCTTTTCAACCATATTCTAATGTCTGTTCTGAAACACAACACCTGCAAAAGCACTAACAAAATATAGACAAACCAAATAATTTGACAAGATTTTTCCTTTTTCTGGTCTTTAAAAAATATTTTATGGTTTTAACACTTGGTTTTTGAAACTGAGTCCTTATTGCATGCAATGTTTTATGCCTGTAAAGAATAACTGCGTGAAGTAAAGAGAGAACACTGAAAAGACCCAAATCACTGGCCCCTGTCCTGCTTTATTTAAGTCCAATTTCCATGCATTTTGATCATATTAAATTTAACTCCTGGAAGTTTAAACTGTCAATTAACTCCAAATAAGTCCCATTAGATAGGGTAGGCACTTGATTCTCCTGATTGTTTGACTGTTGTTGAAATATATCTGCAACTGATTGCAAAATCATCACTGTTAAAAAACAGGGTACACTGTCACAATTCAGAAAAAATAAATGCTTCATAAATAAAAAAAACCAAATTTGTCTTTTTAATTCACTCATACCTTGTAATTCTAGCTCAGATGTATTTAGTTTTATTCCACAATGTACTGAATAAACATTACTGAAATAACTCTTCCAAGCCCCAGCCTCAGCAAAGACTGGATTTTTTCCATATGGAATAAATACTGGTATAGTTTTCCATATGTCTTTGCTCACTTTCAGTTCTAAATATAAAAACATTGCAAACAGAAATAGGCATAGATGAGTTATCGAATCCTGCTAGAGCAAAACCTGGTCACAAATATAACATCATAAGGTTTGGACTCAAAATTAAACTCCAACATCCTGAGTGCTATAGGAAGCAGCTGCTAAACTCAAAACACATAAGTGCATTTTCATCAAACTTTGGTTGGTTCTTTTTTTGTTTTGCTCGTCTGTTTGTTTCAGTTGTTTATGTAGTATTTGAAGTGTTCACAGAAAATTAATTTGCCATTATGACAGCTCTAATATGTAAAGTGTGGACAAAAGAACAACTGTATGCATTGAAAGGCTACTTCCCATTTCCAACCAAACAAGAGTAAATATGTTCCTGAAAGCCAGCCAAGCAGCTGTATTTCAAGAAAGTTCTGTTTCATTCTTAATTTGGAAACAAAGGAGACTGCTTTGCAATGTATTATTTACATTACTATAATAACCTAGGAACCGGATCATGTGCCTGTACATACTTACATCATGTGCCTGTACAAAAACTTAGATTGTAACTTGGCTGACTAGACTGCTCATCATATTTTCAGCTGTTTTATTAACAGACCTTTGTTTCATGGGACTAAGATGCCAGTGAAATACTTCAAAAACGACAAAAACATAAACACATACATCAGTAAAGATTTAATTCTGACAGATCCTCAGTAACTACAGTGTCAAGTAGGATGCTTCTAATTCCACTGCACTCCTCAGATTTTATAAAGGTATTTTTACACCACCAGGAGCATCCCCCATGTGCACAGAGTTGTTTTTGTCAAGCTTGAGAAAGCCCTAAGAGAAGAGAGAGAAACTGCTGTTTCATATAAACTCCTGCTCAACTTTCATCACTATGATGTCATTAGAAGATATCCAGAGGCAAGACAGAGGGGCCAGATCTCTCTGTAATCAGCTTGTTAGCAAAGTTATTACTGAAAGAATGCTTGAAGGAACTTACCAGTAGAGAAAACAAAAACTGTGTTGTCCCAAAGACCGTATGTTTTCAGAGCATCAGTAAGATTTCCTACCGCTTCGTCCATAAGCGTCACCATTCCTGCATAATGGCGCCTTTTCACATCTTTTATGGAAGAATATGGTTTCAAGTATTCTTCAGGGACTTCAAGAGGTTCATGCACAGACTGAAAGGCAAGATAGAGAAAGAGGGGCTGGGGTGGAAGGGATAAAATGGAAATTAGTTGAACATAAAGTACTAAGTGCAAAAGTTACTGCAGCAAAAGCAGACCTCTTTTATCAACTGTGCAGGTAGTGCCTTTTGATTTCTTCTACAACTTCTACATCTTCCATTCTTTGCACATAAACTAAGAAAGCTTTAAAAAATTACTCTTGGAAAGCTGTGGAAAAACATCAGGTCTATCTTTTCTTCATCACATAATTGTTAATAATTTCTTTCTATTAAACTTGTCAGCTTAAGCATCCTTTTTCTGTTTAGAAGTGCAAACTACTTGCTCAACTATTTCTAAAAATGTATTCATTGTATTAAAATAGAAGAAATGGAGAAGGGTAGCAGGCCAGGACCATGCAGACAAAGCCGATTTTGGCAGCAGGTGAGTTTTACCACTGCTACTTCTCACATTTAGCTCTATGCACCTATTGAATAGCTGTGAACTGCAGCTCAAACACAGCTCTCTCTATTAATATTTCATCAATGTTTTTAGAAACATTCTTTAATGCTAAAGTTATCTGTACCTTCTCAGTTTTGTGATTTGCTATAAGATCTATAGCTCTTTCTGTGAATAAATTTGTAGAGTACACATTTTTAAATCCAGTTGCAACTTCTTCTCCATCTCGAAAGTCCAGAGCACAGCGCGTCACATTCTTTGCTTTGATGAGGACACAGTGGTCATGAGTATAATAATCCTCACTGCCCAAGAGATAGCCTACAACAGGAAAAGATGTCAAATAAGCAGGCCAACATCGTGTCACATAAACACATACATCAGGAGGAGAAAAAAGTCAAACACAAATGTCAAAACATTAGTGGTTTTGAGCTAAAACACTAATTCAACCCTGGACCACCTACTGTGAGACCCCTGACATGTCTAAGTAGCTCCACATTTAATACCTCATAGGCTTTTAATTGCTAATGCCAGCATTAATTTCAAAAGAAATTAAACATTTTGAAAGCAGTTTAATGACCTCTTATTTCTACTTGGATGTCCATGAGCACTAAACTAATGCACTAGGAGCCATGGCAGCGATCTAGCTGTGAACTAGTCTGATTCTTGGTGGTATGATTTCTATGTTTGTATTTTGATGTAGGCTTCCACCTCTATTGGAAAGTTTGGAATTTTAAAATCCATTTATTCAAAAACACCCAAGAATGAATCATCTATGTCTGCTGTAATGTAATTTCTGATCCACTGCTGACACCAGCTGGTCAAGAAAAGACACTATCATTTAGAGATATCCAAAAGAAATTAGGTAAAAATCCTGCATGTATGGATTTGCTCCTACCTAGGGCTAGCCTGTTAGGCATGGAGCGCCCTTGTGTTTTAGCAGGCACAAATAAAACTTTTCAAAATCATTTGAATCTCAAAAATTACATTTGAAATGAGATTTTAGATTTCTCCCCCAATATCCTGAAAAAATTGATGAATCTGAAAAAAATACAGTCCTATGTTCCGCAAAAAAAAAGAACTTGGGACAAAAATCCAAGACTGAAGAAATTTACTTGAACTTTTTTTTCAGCAGCTGCAGCTGGTAATTTCTGCAAAAACAAATGTACAGAAAAAATAAAGTTACCTTAAATAAAATATAAATGTCTACAATATTTTTAGGAGAATAAAATGATTAGTTTTTCAAAAGGTGAAGTGATTTTATAGGCAGATTGCTTACATCAATGTACTCAGAGGCACATGTTGCATTTTTTCCATTTTGAATGCCCACTGGGCGAGACTGCATCAAGTGTGCCATGGAATCAAACATCCCTAATCATAATGGATGCCTACTGGAATCACATGAACATTGCAGGATATTAAACCACTATATCCTCGGAAAAATAATGTCACATTGGGCACCCAAAAACAATATCCAGACCCAGCCTGTCCTCAGGCTCCTGAATTAAAAGCCTGCTCAGTCCCAGGGTGAGATTTCACAAGGAACAGCAGCCTATCTACACCCATGCCACCAAGGAGATCCCAAGCTCCTGTGAAGGGATAGAAGAAAGCACAAATGCTTAAGCAATGAGAGCCATTATATCGCAATCCACATATATTAGCTTAATTCAGTTGTGAAACCATGGCCCTAAGCTCCCCAAAGAGTGAAAAGAAGGAAACCACCTAAGTTTTTCCCACCTCATGTTTGGATGAACATAATTTATTAAAGGCACATATATAGCACAGTCACATTCTTCATTTAAGCTGGAGGTTAGACAAGAGCAACACAGGCTTCTGCATTGAAATTAACTATTTTGAAATTCATCATTCAGGGAAAGTGTCTCAAAAACAACCAAGTGGAGATGGACCTCTTTGAACTCAATGCTGTGCAGAATGAGATGCAGAATGAGACTCAGACAGGCCAAGTCATATACCATCCATGACACTTGTGCAAAACTAATAAAAGTGGAATTGATACTGGGACAGGAGCCCAAACCACACTTGGAACAATAAACAATGCATAGCTATAAGTTGCTTTGCAAGTAATGCACTCACACTTAGACAATCTACTGTTTAGTCTGAGAGCTTCACTTCCTAAGTTATGAGTTTTTGGATACTACTTTATAGAGGCTTTCACACCATCTCATCACCAGCTCTGGAAAACCCAAACTACACAAACTGGCTGTAACCCCCCCTTCCCTATTCCCCTGTGCTGCTGTAGGTAGGAGACAGAGAATTCAGAGTAAAAAGTTAACTCTGGGAAGGAGGGAGGAGTGAGGGAAAATGGAAAGAGAGAAACACTTTACTTGGAGCCACACAGTAATTCTGATACTTTCTTCAGTAAGTTGTAAAGCTTGAGCATACATTTAAGGCATTATCATTTTTTAAGCAGTGGTACTTCGGAAATACACATACCCAGATATGGCTTTACTTATAAATCAGCAGTATATCTGCTGCTGTTACAAGAATGGGGCAGTTTCTCATCCTTTTCAACACTGCATTTATTGCCCATACTAATTCAAACCATTACCAAAGTAAGTGTCAAATCCTCTGCGGGTTGGAAGGCATTCTTTTCTGTACATCCCCAAATGCCACTTCCCCACCATGTGAGTTACATATCCCGCCTCTTGAAGTAGCTCTGGGAGGAGTTTCTCATCCAGTGGCAGACAGCTGGGCTGGCATGGCCATATTATCTGGTGTTGTAAACCTGTGTGGATCTAGCAGAGAAAAGAAGTGTGAGAGATCCCTTACAGTGCAGCCCACAGGTTAATTTATAAGCAGGGCAAAAAAGAAGCACAGCTGCATAGAGATTAGGATTATTTTTAGGGGCTCTTCATTTTACCAATGTAGCACTGAAGATGATGAGGAAGCTGCAGGTGGAAGGCAGGGGCTGCATGGAGGAAAACAAGAAAATAGCACTGCAAGAGTTAATATCTTCCCAGGCATAAATCAAGCACTTTAATCAACAATTTAAAAAATGACAAAACAAACAAACGAACACACACGAACCCTTTTATGCTTTTAGCTAGAAATCCAACAGGTAAGAATCATCATTATGGTCTGTTTGAAGGCTAGGAACATCTCAAGATGGAGTGAGAGATTTTAAATGGGACTGAAATGGGCAAAAATGCACATGGCGGGTGAATCTATCAAGCTTTTGCCTGTGTCAGAGAACAGTCACTGGAGGAAAGGTCAATAAAATAAAACTATTTTTCTATTACTCTTCTGAATGGCCATTATATATACATACTTGTATATTTATTTGCATGCTTTAAATGAGTACAAGCACTATAGAAAGCATTTGGATTTGGGGAAAGCTTCGCACTGACTAGATCTGATATTCAATAGTTGTACTAAAGTTTCCAGTCTTACTAAGTGATGAATTTTGTATTTGTTTACAAAACCATCACTGATAACAATACTTTAAGTAGTATATCACACTCGATATAAGGAACCTCCTCAGTTAATGATACTATAAATGTTTTGTCATCTCTGTCTTCTCCACAATCAAAAAGGCACTTCCCTAAACCTAGACCTGCAAACATACATGTACAAGTATATATATCGTTTATATATTAAACATTTCTAGCAATCTTCATGCTAGAATCTATGCGCATGTCAAACACAAAGTCTCCAAGATCCCCTGTAGCAGATAATACCTGATTTTATGACTTCACTAAGCAAACCAGTGTAGCAAGCTGCACTATTAACGTTCAAAGCATTGCTTTGAAAATTAGCAACTCTCTAAACTGACTTTTAAAACAAATAAGCCATGATCTTAGGCAAGTGGGTAAGGCCCTTTTCTAAAGGGTCTACTACTTCCTCATTTTCTTTGAACAAGGAGGTTCCAAAAATAAAATTATAGTATAGCTTTTCTATTAACATAAAAAACATTTAAAATATTTTAAAATGCTTTATTACAGAAAGCATTAATATACCGAATGCACAAACTAGCAAAGCATTGTAATTTCTTGCACTGTATCTGGAAAATGAGAAAAAGGAGAAGGAGGCAATAATAATAAAAAAATATCTATAGCTATCTTAGACCAATACCATTGCTTTTCTTTCAGATGGATTGCAAGGTGACTACCAAAATTTCATCTCCAGATTTAGGTTACTTTCTCAAGTTTCTAAGAAACTATTAATCATATCCATTAAACAATTTTAAAAAAGATCCCACATATTTGCTGCATAATAACTGCTGCATGGAATGCCTCCTCTATTAAAAAAAAAAAAGAAAAGAAAATTAATTTTCTAATATTATTTTACTCAATTGCAATGTGGTCAATATGAAGATTATTAAATTATCAAGACAGATGTATGGGATGAATTTAAATCCAGACTAACTATAGGTATTTTCAAAGTCCACTTCAAAGATGTGATGCAGCAGTGGCCACTTTCTTAGAAAGCACATTCAGATTATGAACTGTATTTTAAAAATATTCACTATGAAAAAAACATTTTCGGTTATTTAATAGAACAACCTCAAGGGTTGGTAAAGATAATGTAAATTGCTTTTTCCTATTCATCATTATCCATTCTTCGACTTTTCAGGAAAGAGACAAATGTTGCTTGGAAAGAGTGTCACCTAGAACAACATTCCTGCAAGAAGAGACAGCGTCCACTACTACAGGATGACATTTATGTTCTTTCACTCAGAGCAGTTTATTTGGCAATCACTATGGTTAACATGGATGTGCAGGACTTCTTGAGACAGAGGGGAAGTTTCTGAAACACACTTAACCCTTTGAGAGTTTCTTCCTTCTGTCTATACTGTGTGTCCTTACTTTCTTTCCTACCCTCATTCCCCAGGTTTTTGCCAAAACTGCAAAAAGAATGGGAAAGGGTAGAATGATACCAGTATTATAAAGCCCAAATCTTAAACCTGCACAACTGGGGGGGGTGGGGGGAAGATAAAGAGAGGAAAAAAAACCTGGGAAAATCAGGATCATCACTATAAAATCATTATGAACTATTTAAACACCCAGAACTAATGACCACTCTGTGGGCACTCCATCGAGGAGGGCAGAACATCTTCACCTCCTGTACCAGGTGGAGGTGAATGTATAGCCACTGACGCATTTGGGCGCTGCACTGGAAATATGTAGCAAAAACTGAACAAGTAATGCTCATCTGCTCCTTTCTGCATCTCGACCGGGTTATCCAGTGGAAAAACATCCCAAGAGTCAGGCGACTAGGGCAAGGATATTTTCCACGACAGCCTGCCCTGCCTGTTAATCCAACCGAAGCAAAGAGAGCACCTCGGCTTTTCTGGAACAGAACAATTTGCACCGATTCCATGTCTAGTTTACTCCCGAGCTCGCAAGGCGAAGTTTGCAGCTTCCGAGCAGCTGTTTCGGCAGCGCAGCGGCACAGAGACCCAGCAAGCCCCAGCGGCACGGGGGCTGCCAGCAGCGAGCAGGGAGCGCCCGGAGCATCCCGCGGGCAGCGCGGCCGGGGTGCGAGCGCCCGCCCTACCTGGTAGCGGCCCGACAGGAGCTGGCTGCGGGACGGCGTGCACAGCGGCTGCGTGTAGTAGCGCTCCAGCCGCACGCCGCCCGCCCCCAGCGCGTCCAGCCGCGGCGTGCGGATGGCAGAGCCGTGCCAGCCCACGTCGCCCCAGCCCAGGTCGTCGGCCAGCACCAGCACCAGGTGCGGGGCGGGCGGACGCGCCGCCGCCGGCTGCGGTAGGCACAGCGGTAGGCACAGCGGCAGCAGCCGGCTGAAGCACAGGCACAGCAGCCGGCTAAAGCGCGGGCACAGCGCGCCCGCCCGCCGCGCCATCCCCTTCATCCCCGGCACCCGGAACTGGGCCGCGGGGAGCGCCGCGAGCCGGGGCTCCGCCCTCCGGGCGACCGGCGCGGCCCACGGGGCGGGGCTCAGGCGGGGCCCGGGCAGGGCCGGGAGAGCCAGGCGGGGCCCGGGGCCGGGCAGGGCTCGGGCAGGGCTCGGGCGGGCCGGGAGAGCGAGGCAGGGCCGGGAGAGCAGGGCAGGGCCGGGAGAGCTGGGCGGGGCCCGGGAGAGCTGGGCGGGGCCCGGGCAGGGCTCGGCCGGCGCTGCGGCCTGGAGCGGGGCATGGCGGCTGCGCGCCTTGAGAAGGGGAGCGGTGCGTGCAGCTTTACGCCGATGGGTTTTGGTATTAGCTTAAAAAAGAAATTGTAAAGGTTTTGCCGGTGTTGGCAAAGTATGCAGCCCGCTGATGCTGGCGGTCCCTTCTAATTTTGTCTTGCTTCAGCTCCGATATTAAACACCCGGTTCAAACCTCGAAGCATTTCCCAGGGGAACCAGGGAATTATGTGCAGGCTTGTATCTCAAGTCATCTGTGTTTCTAATGAAGTCAGTGCGACATTATGAGGACAGGACAGACTGCATTCTCGTAATATTATCTAAACTGTTACTTCTGCCTTTATAGCGGCTCATCCGTCTTTTATACAGCTAGGCTACAGAGCTTATTCTGTGTGCAAGCACTAAGGCAGCTGCAACACACACGGCCTTGCTGCCGGCCAATGTGCAGGACAGGGAAAAACAAGCTGAAGATTGCAGCTGAGGGGAGCGAGGCGGCGATTATTCCTGTTGGAGAAACTCTCCTGTCAGCATCAGCTGCTACTGCACACACACACACACACACACACACACACACACACACATGCATGAGAGAGAGATGTGTGTGTCTTCCCTCCCTCTTCAACCCCCCCCCCCCCCCCCCTGCAAAATCATAAGCACCCCGTGCTTTTTCCTCTCCATTTTGTCCATTTAGATGAGAAGCCTGGATCTGGCTGTAAGATGGTGCTTGTGACTGTTACAGTGTAGGAAGGAAGTGATGCAGAAATAGCAGCAATGTCAACGGGGCTCTTTCTTCAAACCATGTAATTGTTGAAAGCAATATTGCAATCTACCTTAGTTATAGTCTTGATGTAAAATTTAAGAGAGTGAAAGGACAGAAATAGCTGTCAGCTCTTTCACAACTGTCAGCTGTCAGTTTTATTCATCCAGGGGACATATCATATATATATATTTCAGTGTCCAGTGGAACATCAACCATATATTTCCCATTTAGCTAGAATGGCTAATATGTATATTCCAAATATAGCCATTTGGTAACAGGCAGAAGAAAAGTCCACATTAAAATTTGTTTTTATTGGTTAGAAAGCCAAAAATTGAGTATACTGGATTCCTGACTATTTCCTGACCAAGTCTCTGTAGGGAGAAAGTTCCTGCTTGTTTTAATGAAGTCTAGCGGATAAGCCTATGAAGCTACAAAGTTGGGTTTTTAAAAATCCCACAGGTTTCCCCGCTGGTTTGAAAACAACAGCTCTGATGAGTGATGTCAGCTTTTTTTCTGCAATGAAAATGTCCTACAATCTACAGCCAGGACTGGAATGAGAAGTAACAGTACTGTCCTAAAGTCAGTTTTCTGCAAAGTAAATTCCAGGATCACTGACAAACTAGTATGTGACTATGAGTATTTCTTTCTTGAAATGTGATTCATACTGTTTAAAAGCTGCAAGGTTCCATTTTCTCTTGTTTCTAGTTCAGATCCCATGACCAGTCTCAAATGTCTCACTGAACTGTTTCTTTTTCTAACTTCTTCCATGGCCTTATTACAGGTAAAGTTTCATTCAAGTGTTAGCACATTCCCACAGAAACCCTTTTTGTTCACTCAAAATAAGTACTTTGAAAAACTGCACAGTGCTGGTGAAACCAGAAATTTTGAAACAAAATTCGTAATTTCTATTCACCTTTCATATTTTCAAAGTTATCATGGTGTTCAAATGTAGCTGAATTCATATTTCCTTGCAGAGAAACATCAAGAGTTATGTACTCGTTGTCCTGTTCCACTAGAACTGGGTAACTTTGGTTGCCTGACCATAGTTAGAACATTACATTGAACTGTCTTAAATATACACTGCAGATACTGCACAGTCAGCCTGAATATTGCCGCCTGTCAGATTTTCTAGGATTTTTGGGTTTTTATTAATTTTATTACTAGTTGAGGGAATTGGAACCCCAGTCAGAAAAAACTATTTCTCTCAGACAGTATTCTCTTGAATAAAAAGAATAAATCCAGGAAATGGTCTATGTTTAGCCTCTTACGTTTCAGTTTGTCTTTTCTGAATTTGGGGCTGAATAATTTGGATGTTGCTTTGGGATCAGTGATTAAAGAAGTCATTAGTGTGACACACAAGGTTACAGTGTCAGTGTGGATTTATTATGCTGTAAAAAGCATGACTTGGACTCTTTTTGCAGTAGCATATGGAAACTTGGAACAAAAATTCAAATGGTAATAGTAACATCTACTCTGGTGTGCAAAAACTCTGGACATGGGAAAATATAGGAAAACGGGAAACAAAACTGTCTGAGAAAACTGCTTTTTACATATCCTGATTTGAGTATTTCAGAAAATGTCCTAGATGACCATCATTTTTTCACCTCATTGCAGATGTGTCTCCTCTGTTCACTGATAAGGTTGAGAAAGACTCTAAAGAAGTCCCTGCCAATCTTTCTAGAGTGGTATTTCTGTTTGATTGGTTAAAAGCCCTCTTAAAACGCAATACTTTAACATTCTTGCTCTTATTCACTTCCTCTTGCTGTGTCTTGGCACAAGTTTAGGCAACACCATATCTCAATCTGTAATGAAAAGAAGTAACAGGAAACTACAATAGCTGCTGAACGCTTCCCCCACTGCATTTCTTCAGGTTTATGTACTTTTTTTTAAAATAACTTTAAAGGATTGACTTATGTATGTGAACCTGTATGTTGGCATGATTTGTAAAGCTTTGTCCTGATACTTTTTCATTTATCCGTGCTGTGCAGAATGCAATGTTGAGCTGTTCTGATGGATATTCAGTAAGCTGACTTGGGTGTCAGAGCAGTAAGAAGAAGCCAGGCCAACTAGGGAGAACTTTCAAACATTGCTATCACAGCTACAGCACCTCTAATCTCATCAATACTTGCTTAAAACTAGTTCTGATGTCTCTGCTCCTAATTAATTGTTGAAGAGAAAGGCATTCTTAAGAAGTAACAGACAGCAACAAGATATTTAATTTGCCTTACATGTAGTCAGTGATGAATCCGAAGTTGTTTTAGTCTTGTAAGCTGGCTGCAAGAAAGAAACTATACTGCCTTGACCCAGAAACATAGTTAGCGTATCTAAATGGTGAAGTTAAATGAAACTTAGAACCATGGAATATGCTGAATTGGAAAGGACCCACAAGGCTCATTTGAGTCCAGCTCCTGGCCTTGCACAGGACAACTCCAAGAATCACCCTCTGTGCCTGAAAGCTTTGTCCAAACACTCCCTGAACTCTAACGAATTTAGTTTCATGACCATTTCCCTGTGGAACATGCTCCAGTGCCTAAAAACTCTGTGGGTGAAAAGCCTTTTCATAAAATCCAACCCAAACCTCCCCCAAGTGGGCTTCAGGCCATTCCCTCGGGTTCTGTCACCAGTCACCACAGAGAGGAGATCAGTGTCTGTCCCTCATGATGAAGTTCTGACTTCAGCAACTCCTCATACAGCTTCTACTAATTAGCCAAGGCTTGGTCTTGGTGTGTCTTGGGTCACAAGACCTGTCAGTGAGAAACCCTCAGAGAAATCAGTGTCTAGGCTTGGATAATACTAGACTGTAAAATGAGAGAAGTCTGGTCAGCTACACGTAGAAATTAGGGGTTGGGAGGTTACAGCTGGAAATGCAGCACGAGCTGCCAGAGGGTACAGGTCCTGAGTTCACTTGACTGTAGGAATTGTATCTGCTATTCATCCCTCTTTGCTCAAGCTGCAGAAAGCCTGTCCCCTCTGCAGTCAGATTGATCCAGCTGATGTATTAATCTTTCTTCTGAGTCAGAAAAGAGTTACAAACCTGATTCTTACTGTCAGGCTGGGATATGGAGGTATTGTTCAACACTTTTGGCATAGCAAAGCTAATTAGGAAAGTATAGATGAATCTGTCTCAGAGTAACTGTTCCACTACACTCCAGGATGTGGTGTCTAGTGAATTTGCATAATCTTGGGAAATACTAACATTTAAAACAATGTTTCTAAGCATCGTTCTTTTTCTCCACAGTATAAATAAAACCATACAACATTGGGTTGTACTTCAGATTTCTTAAATTCTCACAGAGTCATAGTGGTTAAGTGCCTCATTACAAATAATGTTATCTTTAGGAAAAGTAACATTTTGATGGTTCAGCAAAATAGAACTCAATCACTTCTGAAAGTATAACTGAAAATAATTTCTGAATGGATTTTTTCACTCAAGATAGCATGACAGGCAGAGCTCATATATTTAATTTTGACCTGCTTTATAAAGATATTCAAAACAGCACAATGTAATGTCAGCTTATTTTATCAAGAGTGACTGTTCATTACTCAAATTGTGTTTCTCCTGGTATATACTATTTATACATTTGCTTCTTTGCTGAAGATTTAGAGGCACCAACTCTCTTGAAGAAAGTGCATTTTGGACATGATTCATACATACTTCGAAAACATTTATCTATAGCCTAAAGGACTCCTTTACTAAGTTGGAAATTTTAACAGTGTTATTCAAAAGAATTGTTGAGAATATTATTGAATTACAAATTAGTGTTTTATTAATTTAGTGTTTTCCCATCATACACACTATCCCAATGCTGCTTACTTGGGTTATTGACTATTTAACACTCAATAAAACTCCTTTGCTATGAATTTAATTATATTTTTTCATTGCTAATATTTCTATGTAATAATATATGGCTCATACTGTTGCTTCAATCTATAATTAACAGTAAGAAAAAACTGACTATCTTTGGTGCCTGTCTAGTGGTTCAGATTTAATACAGTAAATCTGTAACTTAAGTTCTGTTCAGAAGCTGAGCAACAATATACTGTTTCTTGTAGCATATTACATGTAATGTGCCACATGATTTATGTAAAACAGTGAAGAATGGGCTTCCTATAACCGTTTCATTGAGAGGAACAGGATTTTGGTCTTTTATGAGAATTTCTGCCAGGCTGACACACAGAAAAAATGCCCAGAGTTCAGCTTACCTTTAGTAATGCCTTTATTATTTTAATGGTTAATTGGATATCTTTCAATTCCTTATGAAGCATTCTGTGTAGAACTAGTGACATGATTTTATGGTAAGCTTGCTATTCATGTGTAAAAAAGACAGGATAAGCTACCTTAGCTCAAGGGCAGGCAAAGGAGGAACTGAGAGTGTGAGGGAAGGGAAGGAATTTGCTATTGGACAGAATCAAGAGCACATTTCTCATATGGCTTAACACAGATCTGCCAGCCAATGTGGGAGCAAGCTGAATCAATGATGTGCACTTTCTGCTCTCAAGTGCTGCTGAGAAGCAGAACACACAGCAGCTCATCAGCTCTGCTCAGCTCTCTAATGTGAACAGCACATAACAGGGAATTAGGAAGTAATGCCATCAAATTTCTCACTCATGAATGGCAATGAAGATCTTGAGTTTAGTAATTAGAAAATGTGAGTAGTTTATTCTCTTAATTTTATGCATATTAATGGCACTATTTCCTACTGCACAATTTGCTGTATTGTCATCTGTGTTTATATTTTGGGACTTTCACCCTTTTTCTGAAGGCGCATTCTTGTTGGTTCAGTCAGCACCAGTGGCTCCTGTATAATGGTTGCTGGATAATTTTTACCTAGAAGTTCAACTTCCAATCTCTGTCCAACTTTGCTGAGTTCCATGGGAACATATGCGAAAGCTAGACTCTGCTGAGCTCCATAGCTGAAACATCCAGATGTGGTATTGCCAATTACCTGAAAAAAACCAAAACCAATTGTATTTATTTTCAAGATGCAGTGATTTTCTGAAGAAAAAACAAAACCAAAACAAAAACAACAACAATGAAAAAAATCCAACCAAAACAGAAAAACCCAACCAACTAACCAAAACAAAAAAAGCAGCAAACCCCAGCCAAGAACCCAAACAACTAGACATCTCACATTTTGGTTTATACACTTCAGACATCATGCAAGTTTCAAGTGTGTCATGCAGTTCATAATATTCTCAATAGAGAGTAACACCACCTGAAACTGCGAAGTTTTTGCTTCTTAAAAATATGTTCTTACCGTGTTCTTATTATGTTCAATTAAGTTTTCACTGGAACATATACAATACATATGCATATGTTTATTATCTATAATAATTTAACTGCTAGTGAGTATTTCAACACAATATGTGCTGAAGTGTGGAGCCCCAAACGTGGCTGTTTAATTTCTTTTGGGTAGCAAAGGTGTTTTCTTAAAACAGCAGTGAACTTGCAGAAGAAGAGAATGGATGACAATACATTAGTCTGTTCCAACCCTAGTTTCAGTGACTTGACATCATTTCACATCTTCTCTGTAGGTATTTCGTCTTTACTTCTTGCTTGAACATTAGTGTGTTTATCATAGCTTCAAATTGTTCTGCGCCAGTAAAATAGAAATAACGCATTCACACTTGAAACACAAAGATTCTGTTCATGGAGAATTAAGACTGATTTTTTGCAACATGAACTATAGTCCTTGCCTTGCCATTGTGCCACACGCTTTCATTTCCCTCTGGATCAACATTATCGGTTTCCAGGGTGAGATATACCAGTCGTCGTTTGAGCCCCTTTTCTTTAATCTGCTTCAGTGCTTGTTTTCCTGTAAAGTCTGCTGCCTGAAAAAATACAAGATAATGATAATATATGTTTATTTGGGTTCTCCAATATTTAAATGTATCTTAATGTGTTTGCCCATCACATGAGTATTCTATATGAAATATAGATGAAATAATTCTTTAGCAGATAGTATATCTTGTATCTTGGTATTTTTATACTGGTACATCGTATCTTGGTAACTTTATTCTGTGTATTCATTTTCCTAGATCTCAGCCTTTAATATCCATAATTCCAATGTATTGGAAACACATACATAGTGACCTGTAGTAAAGACTAACTGCCCAGTTAAGGCTGTAAACCAGAAGACTGTACATCATTTCAGTGTCTATGAGAAGAAGTGAATTCCAATACCCAGATCCTGAAGTCTGGGCCTTGCTCTGTCAACACACTTCCTTTTGAAGCCATCATCAATTTATGACAGTAACCTGCCAGTATTCCACTTTGATGTCTCTGCCAGGCTGCATAGCTGACAGTTTACTCCTTATCCTTTTTTTAAGGTAGGTACATTTTGTTTCTGTATCTACCATTTTATGGGACAATGCAGCATCTTTTGTAAAGAATACTGCTTTGTCTGGAGTTCCCTTTTTCAGTCTGCTTAGAAAGGTACAAGCAGTTTCTCATATTTCCAGAAGAAGACTGCACAAATGAGTGACTAGTGTGGAGGTAGTCATTGGCAAGTTTCAGAACCCTCAAGGGTATATAGGACAGTATTTACTGCATCTGATCACATTGAGCTTATTCTATCACAGGAACATTTAGGTAGGAAGGGGCCTCGAAGCTCATTGAGTGCAATCTTTCACCAATGATGGCCTTGTTAACTACAGCATAGCATAAAGTGTCATGTCCAGTTGTTTCTTGAACATCTCTAGGGATGGTGACTCTACCACCTCCCTGGACACACCTTTCCAATGCTTAACAACTCTTTCCATTAAGAAATTCTTCATGATGTCCATTTTTTCTCCTATGGCATAGATCAGACAGAATAAATGAATTGCATTTAAACTAAAATGCCAAATACACACAAGCCTCCCCATGGGCAGAAATATAACAGCAGTTACAAAGTCCTCTAGCTTTCAAGCCTTTTCTTCACTAGCAGTGAAAGCCATTTTAAGGCAGTTGATCTCAGGTCTGAAGAAGGAATTATATTAATTTGATGAGTGTTTAAGGGAAAATAAATACTATTTCTGGTAATGTACTTTAATTTCAGTAGAGAATTATTGCACTGTCAGAATTACAAGCAACATGTATGTGGAATAGATATTACACAGTTAGTTCAGTGTTCTTGTATTTCTTGAGGTCCATATAAATCCATGTGTATGCTCAGAAGAAATTATTTCAGTGATGAAGAGTTTTTGCACTATGAAAGGCTAGGATTTGTGAGCAGTTGTGAAAAAAACTTATGAACCAGTTAAGGAGCAGTTAGTCTCAAAATCAAGGTGATTCAGCTGGGGATAAAGCAGATACTGCACATAAAGATCAGAGCTGACACCCTTTAAGGGAAAAAAAGCATGAAATACAGCTCAGATCAGAAAAAAGACTGTGAGGATTCATTTTGGAATATAATGTCGAGATGTAACTGCAAAATATAAACCAAAGATCTAACACCAGAGAATAACCAGCTACTGGTAGTTCCCTCTCACTTTTCTGCTACATGGTAGGTGCAACTATAGGAAACACCTACAACTAGAAATGCAAATAAGACTGTGAACCATAGCATGGCTCACAGACTAAAATGCTTTGCATAACAAAGAGAAATACCAAGAAGTAAACATTCTACAGGGATACTCAGTATTTAATCAATTCCTTCCTATTCAAGCTAATTAATATCAGGTATTTAGTCACATGGAATGTAACTGTGGAACTAAATGCAAGTATTCAAATGCAATGTTATATGCCCTAGAACCAGCAACTAGCCTGCTTTAGAATCTACCTGAGCATGGATCATTTTTTGCCTGTTGTTTGCAGATACAAAATAAAATCCTTTCCCAATTCATTTTAATTTGGCCAAGCTTTTGGCCTCCTGGAATAAACCACTACATAGCTATTATGCTAACTGAAGATGCACATGGAGCATTTAATGTAAAGGGCTTGTTTTTTGCCATTTTCTGTTCATTGAAGGTTAAGAATATTCCAGTCTCTTTAGAATGATAGCTTGGAAAAATAACCAGGATGTAACCTAGAATTCAAACTCTTCAAAATACACACCTCTCATATATACACACACACTGCAAAAATGTGTGTATCTACATGTATAAATACATAAACAGATGCATACATGCATACATACTTGAACACGATATGAACATGCATAAAAATGTATGTGTGAAAATACATGTGCATATATAATGCACAACTACCAGTCTATATGCACTTTTAAATATTTAAAGCACCTTCTTAAATTCCAACTATAGGAATTCAAGTATTTCAGTTTACTTCTTTTACAGTTCTTGGGTACCCATGGCAATTTCACACTAATGTATTCCCACCTTTATTCATTTTTGCTTTTTAAGCGTATGTGTCATAGGATTGTTCATTCCCATCAAAACAGAATTTGGAAGCTGATGCATTCAACCTCAGTCTGGCTATTTTTGGTAAAAAATGCTTCCTCTTTCTAGGAGAAAAATAGTCAATTTTCATACTGCTTCTGTTGGCTTTATCCTGTCATACAAAATATAATGCAAAAAAAATCATATTTAAACCAGTATAATCCAATAAATTAATATAAAATCTCCAAAAACCAACAAAACAGAAGAAAAATAAACAAATGAAAACACTGAACAATTCCATCCTTGAACAAATATAAAATTTAAAGCTGTTCTTTGCTGTCACAGTTTAAAAAAAATTATGTAATGTGTAGGAGCAATGCAAATCTTTGTACTAATTGAAGTTAAGACAGTTCTAAAAAGCTATAAAATAGAGAAGACTTTCCATGACTTTGGCACAAATTCCCAAAGCATTAAGCTTTGGCAGATGTAATGGTTTTAACATAAAATAAAAATACTTCTTAGACACCAAAGATAAAGACAATATCTACTGTTTAGCTTCATTTAATTTGAGTGCAGTTCACCAGATAAAAAGATGGGCTTTTCCTTTTAATTTGTGTGTTAGATAAGTTTAGATAAAATTAGAATGAAAAATCATATCACAAAGACAAATCAGCCAAATTTTTAAAATAGCACGTAGTTAAAGGGATACCACTGATTAGTTCATCTATTAACACACTGTATTTTGCCTTATCCTTCTTATCAGGCTTTTACTTTGTGTTAGTGGCCATGTGTTTGATAGCACAAGATAAACCCACTGTCTTCTAGAAAGATTTCACAAGACAATAACCAAGGTGATTTTTTTATGCACAGTGAGGTACCTTGAGGATGTAACTTACTGTGTTTCAAATGTACCTGGCTTTCAATGGCATCCCAATCGTAATTCTAATCCTCTGCAAAAACCTCTTCTAGTTTAAGGGACGCAAAGGAATAGAAATTATCTATAAGCCTTTCAAAAACTTTTCTTTCCATGTTTCTCAGTCTGTGCAGTTTATCAGAATTAAGTTGAAGTTTCTAAAAAGAAATATGCTATATCTGTTCAACAGTTACTTGCAGCAAAGATATACAACTCTCTCAACAAGGAACTGCTGTAATTTATTCAGAATACCATTTAGGACTGTGGGCATAGAGCCAAATTATGAAGACAAAGTGACCCAACAGAGTAAGGCAGCACCAACAGCTGCTGTCATCTACTATAACCATAATGTTACAACACTTTGGAGGCAGCCTCTATACAGGATTATGAAATTTTTCATAGCTAGATGCTCTTTAATTATTTCAGGGTAACACTCCAAATGATTTCTGCCTCACCAGCCTGATAAATGAAGACAAATTTCTTCTCAGAGAGCAAATATTTGACAAGTTTCTTTTTCTGTAGCAAATCAAAACTACAAAAAACACCACACAAAATTTTTTTAAGGGAGGTGGCCACTCTGTATGTATAGCACCTGCACCCGTGCATCTTTCACTCAATCCACCTAAGCTCTTCTTGTATGCAGTCAGCTCTAGGAAGTTGATACAATAGAAATAACTGATGAATTACTGAATTATTTTGGCTAAAAATCCCTATCTAAGTGGTGCTTATTCCTTTACATGGCCAAAGAAACAAACAGGGAGTCACCTAGATGTGCATTTTATACAGATAAAATCTCTGCAGATTCTTTCTAGCATGTTTCCTAACCTGTATAAATTTATGGAATAAGTTCTCTTTTTTTTGACCCTCTGGACACCAAAAGATGTAATGATAGAATACAGTTCTACTCACTCCTGAAATTCAATTTGAATGGGGACAGGACCTAGGTGGAAAAGTACACTCAACAGATTATAGGCATAATAAATGGGGATTGAAAGGAGGGGGAGGGGAAAGAAGTACCATGCTCCATCTCAAATTTCCTATCCATCACTCCTTTTTCCTATCCCCCAGCTCCTTAGCCCTTTTTCAGTAAAGCCTCTGCTCTTTTTTTTTCCTCCTCTTCCCTTTCTTGTGTGGAGTAAAGCTGGCATGGAACACAATCCTATTCCAGGTTATGGAGTGAGTCAGTGACCACTATTGTAGTCATTCCTCTCAGAACAAAAGGAATGCAAGCTGGAAAAGTGAAGCAAGGGCAGACAATGGCAATCAGGGGGAGCTGCAAGAATTCTTGGAGCTCGGGCTGTTCCACACCAGGACCATGGGAACACGAGCTGGACAGAAACAACTGAGGGGCAGTTTTGGTAAGTGGCCAGGAGAAAAACAAATGACTAGAAAGAGAAGGGAATAAAACTGTAAATCTAAGCCTGCTGTCAAAGAAATAAAAGGGTGGAGGCACATCCTTAGAACAGCTCATCCTTGTTTCCTGAGAGATAACATCTTACATATTGTTATGTTGGAGGATAGGTCAATACTCCAGGACTGGAATTTATCATTCACTTACCAATATGAAGCTGAAGGGTGTGACAAAACTTCTTTCATAATGCATACCAAAGCAATTATATACTCATGTGTCTAACAGATGTAATAGTAAAAACCACCAAATGTCTAAGTCAGAAAAAGAGGTAGCACTTGTAGCCTGAGAGATGTGCTTTGACAATGACATTCAGGCAGCCACTGTGCAGGGATGGAGGAGATGAAATGCAATTAGCGATAAGCAGACAAGGAAAAAAGCAAGAATCAAAGGAGAAGGTTTTAGGTTGGTAATAAAAAGGAAAAAAAAAAAGGAAAAAAAGCCCTGGTAGAATAGACATAAGAAAAAATAAGAGATTCTGGATATAGAAAAATCTGGAAAGAAGTTTGGAATTAAGAAAAAAAACCTGCCTCAGTAAATAAAGAGGGCTGAGGCAAAGAAACAATGCCTCGGGAAACAGTAGTTTCTCCTAGTGGAAACAGACAAAATATGAGTTTAGCACTCAGATCCTGACTTATAAGAGCACACTAGAGAGAGTTCCAAAGGGTTTCCTTCATCTACTGAACTACCTTCCCAAGCTCTGCAGCGAGCGCGACCAGGAGATGGCAGTCTTGGATACAGCAACACAAGCACAAACGCACCAACAGCCAACTGCGGACTTGGAACTCAGAAAAATCCTTCTGACAGAATTAATTTCCGTGAGCTAGTATGAAAGTTTTTCACTCTAACATCAAGTTTCATAGGGATTTCTGATCCATTAAAGTCAGTAGAAAAATAAGACTATTTTAAGCATTCAGAGGTGATATCATTGAGTACTCAAAAATCTGAGCAAGTGCAAATGTATGGAACAGTATTCTTGGATGTGGACCAAAAAGAATTGCAGACTGTCTTCCTTAAAGATACTCTGTGTATTTCCTGGCACAGTGAATAACATTAGGACTCTACTAAATATTTTGTAACAGAGTGCTTATTAATGAGATGAGGCTATCTAACAACTAGCAAACTAACTTACTAAATGTAATTGAACAGCCAAAAGAAAGACAACAGGTATTGAAAAAAAACCTAAACCATTGACAGAATTTTGTTGCAAAATTGTGAAAGCATTTTATACTCTAAATTATAAATTGATTTTGTTATTGTTCCTCCACTTTAGTTAAATTGCAGCCCATCCTGCTCATCTGTGCAAGGAAGCAACTAACACTAACATTAGTGAAACAGGGATTATCAAGCAGACTCTAGAGGAAACCACCTAGAACAAACCCTCAGAGTTACTGACAAAATGAAAGTTGCCACAGAAACACTGTGGAAATGGGTTTACTTATTGCCAGGTTATAATTTAATACCCTGTGAGATATTAAAGAAAGTCAGCTTCAGCTTTGAAGAGTTTTTCCTATTATTCATGACAAAAAAATTACTAGTCTCTCTGTACATGAAGATAATGCACACTAAACTTTCTAAACACAGAGACCATCAGGATTTTATGAGGAATTTACATCTCTTCATATATATTGCCCAGATATATGAATGTCCTTTTGTAGGAATTACATTGTAGAAATTAAAATTCTTTTTGATCATATTACTTTCACTGGAATCTGGCTCTTCATCATTTTAATCTGTTTAGAAACTGTTTTCATTTCCCATGACATACCATTCAAGATTCACTTATGCTGAAGTCTTTTTGCTACAGTTTTGTGAGTATTTCAGCTGCTTGTTGCACAGTAAGAAGCACTCTAGTTTTTAACTGAACAGTCTTTTGGTTCTGATTTACACAGAAATCAGCACTTTCCCCAGCTGGGGGCGCATGCTTAAAGGAATAATCTTTGTGAGGAGCTGAACCGGCCAAAATGTCAAAAAGAAGTATTTCATTATCTGTTGCTTGTAATTTTTCTCTCATTTACCCTTTTTTTGAGGGGAATGTTTCTGCAACAATAGAAACAGGTACAAAATAGTGTTTGGCTTGTGTTGACTCACAGCTGCCTGTAAAGAATGGTGAGGTCTCTGCTATGACAAATGCGCAACAAAACCAGAGGCATGGAACTGGGACTCAAACTGCCAAGAAGCAGAGTAAATAATCTCACACTGCATTTCGTGCTACAGTGTTCAGAGTGCTTCCAATAGCTGAATTAGCTCAGGTACCTCTGAAGTGTCAACATATAGTCACAACTGCCCTCATTTAAGTCAATAAAAAAACATTGATTATTTCCTTTTTTGCATTAGTTCAGCAAAACAGGCAGATGTTTCAGGCTGACACACTGCATTTATGTGGGACATTCATTCATGTTCATTTATCTACAATGTGAGTACCTGCTCTGGAGAACTTCTCCAACCCTGCATTTCAACCATGCAGAGTCTGCAGAGCAACTAAAGAATCAAGTGCTTCTTGCACTTTATTGCCTTCCTATTATCCACATGGGTATCTTGGCAAGCAACAGCTTTCCAACAGCTTTCCCTGCTTATGGCTGCTTTCCTACTTAAACTAAAGGAAAAGGGGAAAAAAGAGAAAACGTACAGATGTATCAAAAGAAAGTGGAAAGAAAAACAAGTAAAAGTCACATTTTTTTATTGCCTTCCCTTCAATTCTACTAATCTCTCCTTTAGATGGAAAGGCCTTGATTTGTAAATGCAACTTAATCCTAAACAATTCTGTGTTTCCCTTGCACGTGTCACTTCCTCAGATTAAGGCAATATTATACTACCCAATGGAGAGAGCTGTAACTCTCTGTAACATGTAGGAACTTCCATTTACATCCTTGGGAACACCCTGCCTCAATCCTGAATAGGTTGAAGAACATTACCTTCTATAGACAGGTTCAACAGTGAGAGGAAAAACACCTTCCTGGACTTGTTCTGTTATGTTCAGGGAAATTGTTTCATAAGTATAAAAGCATCCTTTTATGTTTAACATTCTTTCCTGTGCAAAGTTTAAGATTTGTTTTTATTTAGAGGTGTAACTTAAAGTTTGGGATTCTTCTTATCAGTTCTACAGTGCCTCCATATAACAGGGCAAAAATATCAAGGACTATTTATTATCTATTTATTACATTTTCAGGTATAAAGGGAGCATAAATAAAACCAGCTTGTTGCTATAAGACATTGCATCATTGTCAAGATTAAATGTTTTGCAAACATTTTTTCTTCTTGAACGAAGAAAAATATACATACTTTATATTATATACTGTATTTGTATTTATATACTGTAAATTTTATACTTTAATTTATAAATTAATTGAAGCAATAGATTAAGTCAGAAATAGCCCATCATTTAGGACACCTCACTTGCAATCTCTAGGACCAGATTTTTCATGTTAGAAACCTCAGATCCATTGTGCAGGCAACTAATGTTTGAGTTGATGCAGTAACTGATAGCAGCAGATGGCTTTAGATGTGCACAGAACATGATTTCACCAGATTTCATGGAAAGGTCCTCTATTTGACAGAGTTTAGACATTTGGTTTGTGATTCATTTGGACCAGGAAAGAGAATGACAAGCTTTTTTTGTATCTATTAGACTAAAACAGAATTTGAATTACTAAAATATTAATACTAATATTAAAATATTAATAATTAAAAGTGAGGTTGCTAATTAGAGGAGATCAAACAACATATTTTCTTTTTACTGCACAGTTAAATTCAACTAGCTTAATTCTCTAACCTTCAAATCAGGTGAAAACAAGGTATGAGCAGAGGACCTCTTCAGAAATTCCATGAGCAACTAGTTATTCTTTTAACCAGTGTACTAATTTATCTAATATTTAACTTATTGTTGTCAGTTGTCCCTAGCAGTTCTAAAAAATATACTTTTTTCAGTAATTGTTGTAGCAGAGTAGCCAGGGAGAAAAATTCTAGAGATACCTGCTTCAACAAGAATGAATAGGTAGAATATTATCACAATATGAACAGGCCTGTTCAATTTCTGTGTGTGTGTGTGTGTGTGTGTGTGTGTGTATATATATATATGAATGTGTGTGTGTCTGTGTGTCTGTGTGTGTCTGTGTGTGTGTATACACACACTAAAATTACATGACTAAAATTTCCCTCTGAAAATAAATCACATGAGTTATTTTTCATGTAGACAACATTTAGCATTTACAAATTTCTGATCTAATGTGTAATTTTGATAGCAAGGAGCATGGGGAAGATTTTTTTTACAAGTTGCTACTTGTAAAGTAGTTATAATTATAGTCATTGATTTACTAAATGTATGTTATTTTCCAGCTAATGGCATGTTTCATGTTCAAACACCTAAGGAATAATCTTGGACATAATAGAACATTTTGAAAATAGTAAGACATACCTTGTTTAGCTTTACAAAATACTCCAGTCCAGCTTCTAAGGGATTAGTGTCACAGTTCATCTGTTAAAAGATATAAATTCACCACCTATTACAGACCATCATAGCTTTTGGATTGGGCATTATTAATTCTATACATCCTTCTATTTACTCCTTTGCCAAACTCTTCCACACTGTGCATGCACAGCTTCTGTTGGAATACACTGCAAGCTTCCAGCATGGGATTCAGATCAGGTATCAATTAACACACCCAATATGACATATAGATGTGTAAATTAGTCATCTAAGTTTTCATCTGCAAAGTAAACACTTTTCAGAAAGAAACAGGATTTTCCATCAAAGCAGAATGGAACCTCAGAAAACTGAGTAACTGAGGTATGCACACCATTTGCAACACAGCAGAGTGGCTTAGCCAGAGAGGGAAATAAAACACAAACCAATTTCAGTCACCACCTTTCCATTAGGTGTAGGGGGAATAATTTCTTAGGAAGCTCTTGAAGAAAGAATGAATATAACTAGCACAGGGTAAAGCAAAAGTACCCCTAAATTCCCACAATTTCAACCTCTTGAGTTCTTTCATTTCCAAAGGAAAAATGTAAGGTGAAATGAAATTATACTTATTTACCCCAAATTCTCTAGGCCTTTTGAGTAGCTCTTTATTATAAGTGAGCAAATTCTGCAGGAACAAGGTAATGGGAAACAAAAAAGTTCCAAATACATTATGAAGCAAAAAAAAATTTGCTTCTCATGACATAGTTGCTAGAGAAATAAAACATTTTGAGTACCTGCCAGCCAAACCTTTGATTTTAAAATGCTAGAGCTCAGCAAAACCATCATAATTTTGTTATACACAAGAGGAAAACCACCCATTTGTCAAAATAAGTGCTTCTTTGCCAGCAGTGCAATGGAGTATACCCATTGTTTTTATTTAGAAAATCACCAGCAGCTTTTCCTGCTTGAGGAAAATTTTCTTCTCATGCTAAATGGAGAAAATGGTACAAATAACAGTTGTGCTAACTATGACTAAAAACTGCATAGTCATAAGAAAATTTAAAAATAAAATTAAAAATCCCCATCAACACAATATCTCTCACCCCACCAAAAAAAAACCCCAAAAACCCAAACCAAACCAAGCCATACCAACAAAAAAAAAAAAACAAAAACAAAACAAAAAACAAACAAACAAACCAAAAGAAAACAAAATTAAAAAAAAACTAAACAAAACACAAAAACCACAAAAAAATCCCAAACAAACCCGAATTTCCAGAAAGAATAATGAAGCAGTTATATTTCCTGACCTCTGCTCCCCAGGCTCGGAAACCCTTTTCCAGCCTCAAAGCATTTAGAGCATATGTTCCAAAGTCATCAATTCCCTCTTTTTGCCCAGCTTCCATGATTGCACTGTAAAGACGTACAGAATCTTCTTTTCTATGGTAGAGCTCCCAGCCCAATTCACCTGTTACACAAAAAAAAGATTACTATTTTAATCATCTCAGCTAAATTATTCTAATAAATACACTCCTGTCCTTGGTCAAAAGCAAGGATCAATGCAGTTAGTGTTAATTCACACTCTATAATTTATCATATAGCAAGTCTAATCCCAGCAAAAACTACCAGGATTTGTGCCCTACATCTTAAGCAGTGGTACTATTATTCAAATTTGAACTGTTAACTGAAAACTGTGGGTAAAAAAACTATCAAAATAACTGATAAGGAAAGGCCATGTAACCAAGTCACAAGGATAAATTAAGGACATTATGAACAGATGATGACTTGGCAAGTGAACAGCAAATGTAACTGACTGTAAATAAGAATGAGTGTATTTAGCATATTTAGCACAACAGAAAGAGAATATGAATTGCAAGGATTTCAGCTGCTTCAGAATGCTCTCAATTCAGTCTATTACACTCAAAATTGATGTAGAAAGAAAAAAAAAAGTAACTGGGAAAGCCAAATATTAAGCACTACAGCATTACATTTTCAAGGCACATTACAAACACTAATATACGGTAATCCAAAAACAGTTCTTGACGTTGGTTTTGCAGCAAATACCAAAGAGGTTATCAGAACTGGCCTTTTGTTCTGCAAAATAAATATTTACACTATAGGGTATTTCTAGAGAAAAAGGTCTTGGAAAATTCAGCACAGATCCTGACCATATCCCATTTGAAAATCAATGTACCATGATGCCTCCCACACTTATGTGTAAGATGCAGCAAACCTACTTTTCATGAATACATGAGAAGACTTAGTTTTCAACATAATTTTAGTGACATTTATTATTCTATTCATTGTCTCTTTCCTTAAGTGTATGTTTTTTCCATTGCTTACCTGTGTAAGATATCCTAATGGCAGTAACAGCAATATTGGAAAGTTTCAGATGTCTACACTGGAGAAATTTAAATGAAGCATCACTTAGGTCTTCATTTGTCAACTTCTGGAGGACTTGTCGTGCATATGGACCTGCTACACTAAGTACTCCCATCTCATCTGTCATGTTTTCTATTTCAACCTTGTATCCACCTCTTGTTATTTTGTCTTCTATCCATCTGCATATAAAACATAACACTGATGTTACACTTCCTATGAAAAAACCTGAATTTTATAAGATTTTACTAGGCGTTATTTTTTGTTAGTATTCATTTCCCCAGCAGCTCCCAGTCCCCCACTCTCAAAACCAACCAAATATGTGCTACATTAGATAGACAAATCCATCATTGATGTCAAACAGAGTTTTCTGGTGAGACACATAGGAACACAGGGATCTGAGACAGAGCCAGGAAAGAACAGCATTTAAAGGGGTAGAACAGTGTTTTCAAGATAAGAGAAACAAGTGATTTCCTACAATGACAACAGATTTGGGCTTGGATCCAGTATGTGTTAGTAAAATGTTAACATACAGGAAGAGTAAGGAATAAACACTATGAACATAAGAAATCTCTAAATAAATATCTGTGAGAACAGAAATGTATAAGCAGGTTTGTTGCTTCCTGAATAGAGTATTCAAAGTATTGGCAGGAAATTCAATTAGGATTTAATAAAAAACAACAGCTGTGAATTATCTTTTAGGAAGCTCAGACAATAAATAAAATGTGTATATTTAAAAATCTAATGGAGTACTACATTTTTAAGCAGTATTGTAGGATTTCAGGCCTAGGCAAGTAACAAACAGGACTGCAGAAAATCTATAGAATTAAATACATTAGATCTGGCTCTGCCATTTGGTTTCTGAATGTGCCAGTGCTGCTACTGATTCTTGTGGGGCTGTTATGAAACAGTACACTATTCTTTGCCTGTTAGGGTAGTGAATTTCTGTCTTTAATGTGTTGATTCATTTTGATTCACTGACTTACCAGCAACATCCAGTAAGAGCACTAGAAATATCAATTCCAATGCTCATCTATGAGAAGTAATTTAGTGAAGTCATCTTGCAACTTTTCTTTTTTCTTTTCTTTTTTCTTTTCTTTTCTTTTCTTTTCTTTTCTTTTCTTTTCTTTTCTTTTCTTTTCTTTTCTTTTCTTTTCTTTTCTTTTCTTTTCTTTTCTTTTCTTTTCTTTTTCCTCCTCTCCTCTCCTCTCCTCTCCTCTCCTCTCCTCTCCTCTCCTCTCCTCTCCTCTCCTCTCCTCTCCTCTCCTCTCCTCTCCTCTCCTCTCCTCTCCTCTCCTCTCCTCTCCTCTCCTCTCCTCTCCTCTCCTCTCCTCTCCTCTCCTCTCCTCTCCTCTCCTCTCCTTTTTCTCTTCTTTCTTTTCACTTTGTGAAAAGAGCCCAAAGTAAAAGACACAGCATCAAGAATACTGAAAACTGCCTATCTGTCTGGGCCAGGTCAGTGCCTCTGGGGTCATTCCTGTTAAGAGCCAATTTTCTTTTTTGCGTAAGAGAACACACTAGAAAGGAACAGCCACGCTTTGTTACATCATGCAATGCCAAATACAAACAGGTTCAACAACAAAACAAGAACTACCCCAATAAAGTATATTACATAACTGTTAGCAAGTTCTCCATCTTTTTACATCAGCAATAATCCAATATCCAACTGCTTATACTTCAGAATTCAAGTCAACCAAGTTTCTAAGAAACTAAAATCAATAAACAAGTAGAATTCTCATGAACTTTGTGATAAATTTGTTGAGTAATAATTGAGAATTTGGAACTTAGCAAAAAATTTTCTGTACTAATGTGACTGTATAGAACTATGTACTTACTGCATAAAAAAATACACTAACCTCAGATCATGGAGTTCTGACCCTGACCCAGTTACAAGCATGAATTCTTCATGATCCAGTTGAGAGACAGTTAGCTCAGCATAAACTTTTCCTCTTGGTGTTAACATATGGCTTATATTTGTGGAACCCACCTAGAGAGTAAAATTTGTGATTATTAAGATTGCAAAATAAAACCTTTGAATTCTTAAACATCATTAAACATATGGTTATTTATCTTCATTTGAAAAAAATTATTTTTTAATGTTTGCTCTGCCATGCCTTAATAGGAGTGGAAAGAGATACAGCTGGCCAATCTCAAGCTTTAGAGTAGAAACTTCAGTTTTTCTTTTCTAGAAAAAATGAAAATTTTTAAAATAAGTTAAATCAAGACCTTTATACATATTTTCTAATTATGCATTACACAAGGCATTCTTAAGCTACATTTGTTTTGTCCAAATAAAAAATTCTCCATGTAATTAACATGAATATTCTTTTTCAATCTTGTGAATATGGTTTTAGATCTCAAGAGAATAACACATGCTTTTCCCCTTACTATAAAGAGAGAAATACAGAGCTAGCTTATGCTTTTGTGGCCCTGATTTATGAATGCTTTTCTATTTTTTGTAGCTGCTGACTATGAATCTATATGTCTGCACATTTGAATCAGATTCCATACAGAAACTCAATCCCTAGAGTCAGAATTTCAAGTAACAGTTACTTAGCAGTGACAATAAAACACAAACACGTTCATACATATATCATCCTTAGAAACAGAAATGTGAATATGCCATAGCTGTTGTGCTGGCCTGGTTCCAGAGGCAGAATTTAATCTCTCTGCTTTGATCATTCTGCTTTCACCGAAACTTGTCAATAACCTAGTCAGCAGCCAGATTCTATACAATGAACCAAGCAAGGAAAAATATATTCCAGATATTAAGATTATTTTTCAGGCCTTATTAATCAATTAATTCTGCCATAGTTATAGTTAGGTATAGTTATTGGCATATTAGAGGCATACAGTTGAATTTTCAGGACCTGATGCTGGTCATTCTCAATCCAATTGCAATACAAATATATCTCTGGTAACTCCACTGGATCATTTTATGATGGAGACAAGCATGAATGGGGCTAAAAATCAGGCAACTTAAATAACAACAGCTGTGAAAATGGATTTGGAAGTGGACTCATAAACTGTACCTTCTGCTTTGCCACCTAACTTTCCATTAGCATTGCTGATTAAAGTCTGTAAAAAGCATTTGGTTTGTTCACATAATTTCATCTTTAGTCTTGATTTCCCTTTACTACACATTCATATATTCAGCAAGTATTATCCACACCCACTGATGACTCAGTTACTCTGCCTCTACCCCAAACTAGACTAGAAACGTTCTAGAACTAGAAACGTTCAATTCAAATTGTTATCACAAAGTTAATAGAGTAAAATATATCACTAGATGGAAATTCAAGTCCTTTTTTCTCCTAGGATATCAATCTTGTGCCTTCCCACTGAGTTGACTTTAAGCTTTCAGAAGAGCTTATCTATCTTCAAAACTATACTCTCAGCATACTTGCTGTTTCCCTGTGTTTTCTCCCTTTGGTGTCTGAAGCAACAAAAACTGACACCTACTGCAAATACTTAATGAAATTCTGTGCTGAAATGACCAACCCAGGTTATCCTGCAACTGCAGGGTCAATTCAGAAAGGAGCAATCTGCTTGCTGGAGGTGTATCTCTAAAGTTAAAGACACTACATGAGAGTGTTTGACAAAGTAGGAAATAAAAAGGACTCAGGACCAAAACCTGAAGACCAAGAATAAGAAATCTGGGTAGTTTGTCACAGCATGCCATTTTTGAGCACAGGATCATACTCTCAGGATCTGTGAACAGCCACACTTGAGAAGAAATGATACATGTGAGGTGAAGTGGAATCTCCTAAGTATTTGCAACTCTGCCTGCACCAGGCAGCCAGGTATGAAGCAGAGTAAGTATGAGTAGAGGAAAACAATGGGTTTCATTTGAAAAAAAAGACAAAACTTCTCCCTTGGGAACTCATTCAACTGGGGTCAGGCAAGAGCCCCTTCCACTGTTCTCTGCTGCTCAAGCTGCCCCTTAAAGCACAATTTTAGGCAGGCAGCTGCCAAGCTATTCTACTGTAAAAAAATTCCAGGTAGGATTCATTTGCATTTTTCAGAAAAAGATTTGAAACACAGGAGGCTGTCTGTGGAACATAAGGAAATATTTTTTTACTATAAAGTGGCTAAGCACAGGAGCCAGTTGCCCAGTTAACCCAAAAGCCATCTGAACATACTCCTAGGCAATGAGCTCCAGGTGATGCTTGTCCAACAGGGGGTTTGACAAGATGATATCCAGAGGTCCCTTCAACCTCATCCATTCTGATTCAATGATCTCTGCCAAAAGGCACTTCTGTGTGGGGCTAGTCTAGTATAAACTCCATTTGTGTGCTTTTAACTGAGAGCAATACATCTAACACAGAAACTTCTCCAAAGGATCTGTGTATTTGGTATCCAAGAAATATTTTTATAATATTATGGTCCATTTTCATATCTAAAACAGAGCTTGTCTAAGTTGTACATTACAACAGTTACCACTGTCCCATTTACCTTCGGAACAACATTTGCAAATAGATGATCAAGCAGTTTAACAGAATCTGTGCCTTTTACTTTAAACTTGCCAAATGGTGACAGGTCAATCACACCAACTTTTTCCATAACCTGTTTATACTCACGACCCACAGGGTCAAACCAATTTGTGCGCCGAAAACTGGGTCTGAAACAGAGCATTTAGACACATAAAACAAAATTCAGAAATTTTGTGCTCTTTGCAGCAAAACATAGTCTTCAGTTTTTTCAGTTTAATAATCATCCAAAAAAGATTGACTTTCCTAGTTGTAGGTAGCTTACCCAATATTTTCCTTAGTCTAACACAGCTTGATAATTAAAATCCTTTAACAACACAGAAAGATATGGGTTGATATTATATCAACCACTTTGTATAATGAACTGTGAACTGTTCAAATGTTAGAATAAGTAGTGGGCTGTCATGAGTAAATTTACAGCATACTTTGTCGATGAATCATTTATTTAAGTTTGAGGTGTCGAAGGCTTTATTTCTGAACAGCAAAATGTGTCTCTTTATTCCTTTATGAGCCTCATTTAGATTAGACTCCAATATCCCACAGAAAATATTTATTTGCTGCAGACTTCCTGATGCAGGCAGGTTAACTAGGTAAGCAAGAATAAAGAAGAGGGGAAAAAAAGCAAAGATAGGGCTTCTCCTCTCCAGACACTTACACAGAGAGGAATGAGATTTTTCATGAAAATATTGTACTGTGCTGCTGATCAAATATTAAGAGATGGAGAAAAACACACATTGATAGTGAACAAGTTTTCCAAGCTCTTCCTTGAGCTAGGTTGCTTTCTGGTATCTCAAACCTAGAACAGATACAAGATACCTTTATATATCTTTGAAATATCTTCATTATCAGAATAAAAGGTATTCTAAACTATGGAAAAAGTAAGAATGGAAATTAATCTAATAGATACCTGTTGCTGAAATGAATGATAAATGCATGCTTCTCATTAAATTTAAATTAACTGCCTCTTGCTATCAGGACAATTATTTAGGGGAAGGAAAAAAAAATTAATATTTCATTTACTTGTATCCAGTCTCATCTCCAGGTTTGTAGAACCAATGGGGTTGCTCCCATCCTGCATGGAATCCCATTGAACATTTTGACTTTAGCAAATCATACAGCCCACTAGTTCTCTTTGTTGGTCTCCCAGCAAATCTTTCTTCTTTAGGGTAACCAACTAGAGGGAGGGAAAAAAAAAGCAAACCAAAATCACCAAAAACTATGGCATGCTAAGATCATGATCCAAGATAGAAAACACATCTAGAAGCAGAGAAATCTAGATACAGGCTTTGCTGGAATCAATCTTTAGGATATAAATGTATTTTAAAAATATCTTCTTACCAATGTTATTAAAGCCATAAGATTCTCTTGCTTTGGCTGCTGTGTATTCTGTGGTGGTCCACTTTCCATAGCGGTTTGGATCTACTTCTATCAGGTCAAATGGAGGTTCCCCCTCAAGGATCCAGTCACTGAGGTACTTTCCCATGCCACCAGCATGTATAATGCCATACCTTAAAAATAGGAAAAAATGTCCTGCAGCGCCAAGTATTTCACATTTTGCTTTTTAAAATCAGTACTAACATATACTACTAACACAACCCCCAAAGTATTTTGAATTTTTCCCTCTTTGTTTTTTTTTTTAATTTGTTCAGTTTTGTTCTCTTTTCAGAAATTAGATTTTATATTAATGGATATTTCTACAGCCCCAATGTAGAATGTCATTGGTAATGTACAGCAGTTGCAGTTTAATGACAAATAATCATTAACATCAAATGATTTAAAATTTTTAATACCTTTTAATACCACCATGTCTTCAAAAAAATTGCCAAAATAACCTTCTGTCTAGAATATGTCTAAATTAATTCTTAATTGTTTGCGAAATGCTCCCATGAGCACAAAAGAAAAATCCTTGAATAAACAGTAAGTCTGTCCCAAATCAAGTTTAGATTAACATGCAGCAAACCACAGACACTCATACAGAATAATGAAGCTAAAACCAGCTTAAATTGCTGGTCATTAACTTTGCAATCTGAATTCTATGTCTTCAGTTAAAATAGACAAGGGCTTCACCAAGAAGAAAAAAAAGAAGTAATCGTTTCATTCTAATCCATATGCACAAGAAGAATGAATCCATAATAGCAATGATATTAATTTGATATAGTATCTTATCCATTATTTACTTATTTATCTAAATAAAATAGAAACATAAAAAAACTGAGTACACTAAATTTTGCCAACTACAGTCAGTACAGTGCAGCTCAGCACAAATCTTCAGACTCAGCAGAAACTTCTATCACTGCAGTGGATGCAGGAAGGATGAGTGCTTATAAACTGCTGCTACAGAAGAGTTAGCTGTTGCTGGTGCCAATTCAATTAAGCAACTCTTAGTTATTCATGGGTACAAGCTTTGGTACCATGAAAGCTTATGATGCCCTCAAGTACAGCTCCAGATGAAATCTTAGGCAGTTTAAGTCTTCCTGTGCATTTCACTGCAGCCAAAAGCAAAGGAGAGCAGCAAAGAGATTGTGAGTGGTGACAGACCAAACATAATGAAGACCTTTAGCTTCACCTGAAGACTGCTGAGCTGATGGCAGGGCAAGCCCAGGAGCAAGGCAGTGCAGAGAAGGCTGCCCTGCTACTACAGATACAGCACTGCAACTGGACTGCATTTTGCAGTTTTGCAGCACTGACTGTGCAACGCATTGATTTTGGTGCTCTTAGCTGGGCCTACATTATCAGAGATTTTATATTACACAGGGTGCCCAAATCCCTCTTCATCTTAGATAAGAGGGAGCTGACTGTGTAAATGCAACCACTGGAATTCTGATGCACAAGAATAAAATATGTATTTCAGGGACAGGATTTTTACAAGTAGCTATGAAGAGTGGTACAGTGTAGGAATCTCAGCCTTCTTATGATTCAGACAAAACTTCCTTCATGAACATGAACTATTTTTCTCCAGTTTTTCATCTCTCCTTCCAATCCCTGACAGATTAAGTCCCCATTGTATGTGTCACATTCTTGTGTCTTACTTATGAGGTGCTGTGTGTCACCCACTTTCAAGTCTTTCCATTCCTATTCCTAGGAAATCTGAGTCTCTGCACACTGTGGTACCTTTTCTAGTGTTTTTGTCCCAGGTTATGGAATGGTTTCACTGCTTTGAATTAAATTTTTCTGAATAAAATCCTTAAACTACTCTCGTTAATATTTTCAAAATTTTAAGTAACTAAAAATGGGAAGCATTGAGCAATCTTAATAATAAATAGTGCTACGAGCTCTGCAAACTATACTTAACTTCTTTGCATGTTAAAATGCCTAGCAAGCTGCTAATTTTAGATAATAAAAATCCTCTAATCTAAAAGCACTAAGTCCTCTGTCACAATGTTCGTGCTAGTTGTCTGCAAGATAAGGATTTGCTAATGCACACAAAAAATTACAACACTGGTAGAACCACTGCAGTGACCCAGAAGCATAGAACAGAGAGTCAAAAGTCCCTGAAAAGCAGACAAAGTAATCCAATGACAGCCATATAACAGCAACCCGTGTCTAAACATTTTGCGATTAATCAAACTCCTGAAACAAATTGTTTAAAGAAAATTAGGCATGTAACACTAGTCTTCAATTTTTTACATATGAAACTTGATTCTGCTCCCATTGACAACAACAAAGAAAACATGTTCCAAAGTCTGGCCACAGAGTAATGAACTTAAACACTCGTTTTGGTGAACAAGGTCTAGGCAAACCGCTTTTGTAACTATAAGTTCTGCAAATGTTACTGAAAGATAACATTATTTTTTTTAAAATCCAAGCAGCAAAGGTGAATACCTTTCACAATGAATCATTGCAAAATTACCAAGCTCTTTTATTTTGAGAGCCTCAGAAAGCACGTTAGTGATACTGCCTTATCTTACTATCGGAGGGTTTGTTTGTTTTGGAATGAAAGAAATCTGGAAAAAGCTGAGCTGGATTTTGAACAGCAAATTAGGCAATTGGAAAAACAATGTAAACAGAATGTGTTCAATAAGATCTGCTTGGAATTGTATTTGGTTCATTCTATCCATCTTGAATCAATGGTCAAACTAAGACAACTAAAGAGATGTTGGTGTTTTAACACTTGCTCAAGTGCAGCCGTAATAAATAAGATGTAAATCACATTCAAGAAAAACACCATAAGGGGTGGGAGAATAACACCAGTAAACCATATATTTCTATCGTTGCACTGCCCTTTTTATTTGATTTCCTCCAATACCCAGCAATGTAATTTTTCAGCTTTTTCTTTTTTGTATCCCTAGAGCAGTCAGTCACACACTATACTGGAATGTCTTCTATTTAATAGGCCTTCAGTTCTTCACACAGAACTGTATAATGGACACTCATTTTTGTCCACCTTCAGTGAAACCAGATTTACATACAACAAACAACTGTAAAATACAGTGCAATTCAAAGCAAGAAATAAAATTAACTGGAAGGTATACTTTTAAACCCAGTATTTTTGTGACTTTAAATTGCTACACAGACAGTACCAAGTACTACCATTTTTTGTTGCTTCATAAAGTGTCACAGGTATTGGCATCCAGAATAAAAGGAGGAAACAAAAATTACTGAGAGTAAAGAAATAAGAGAAAAGGATGATCTTACATTATAGAGGTTGTGGTTATTAAGATTATTTACAATTACATTTTAACACAAAATATGTGCAAAACAACTCCCAAGCGCATAAAAATGCACAAAGCTTGAGGTGACTACCATTTTAACAATATGATAGGCAAAAATTCACAAGAGAGATAGGCAAAATGTCACAAAGAACTTACTCACCCGAAACCAATAGCTACCCAGTAATTTCTGACACCCTGATGTGGTCCCACCATAGGAAGAATGTCTGGAGAATAGGTGATAGGACCTGAAATTGTGTTTACGATGTCTGCTTTTCTCAAAACAGGGACCATTTCCATAGCAGCCTCGATATGCTCCATTATTCTGTCTAAATCAGACTCAAAAAGTTCTTTTCCAAATCCTGCACAAGTAATTGACTCTTATTATATATACTTATTTACACAGAGAGCACATACATTTTCAATACAGCTATAGTATCTATATATAAATATAGGTGTCTATACAATACAGCTATCTATATCAATACAGCTATCTATATATAAAAGTTTTATGATAATAATCAGTGCATATGTTCAAGCCTTTACTGTCCTACATAGGAAAAATGGCATGCATAAAAACCTAGTTACCTGCAGGACCAAGTTTATTTGTCACTGCAATTATACTATCCTTTATACATATTTGTTTAACCCTAAGGTCATGCAAATTCAACAATGAAGTAGAAAGGAAGTGAAGATACACAGAAACTTTCTTCTACATTAATAAGACTCACTTATTTTTCTCAATATGCCAATAATTTGAGGAGGGGAAAAAAGGTACTTCCTGTATCTGCTTATGGTTTCCATGAAATCATACAAATTTCTGGGTACATTTCACCCCTCAGCCTGGACTCTAAGCATGGCTGAACATCATTATGTAGAGGCACTTGATGCTACTGGAGACAGTAAGATCCAGAAGCCATGACAGGGCTACCCAGAACTGAAGTGTCTTAACTGCCCCTCCTTAGGAAATACTGTGTTTTTTAAAACAGCAATACTAATGACTTCGTAAAACTTTTTGTCTGGAAGTGAATGGAAAGCTGGAGCCTAGATATAACACAACAATTCATAATGGTTTTTAGTAAGCAGCTGTATGACATAGGACATCTTTGTATTCTATACATATCTACAGCTCTCTTGCACTTATATCTAAGCACAGCATTTTGTCTAAGACATTCCTTTGCTGTTCCTATTTGACAATCACATTATCTTGGGGGTATCAATAAATATCCAGGGCCCCTGTCAGCATGCTGGAGAAAATTGTAAGAAAAATTTCTATTCAGGCAAAAAAGGCTATATAGCGCAGATTTGGTGACTGCCTCTAATTTAAACACACAAGCAACTCTTCAGGAAGTAGGGTAAGACTACATTGTAGCAGGCTTTTCTTACATTACATTTGTATTTCTGTTATCTTTTATCACTAGAGTTACAACTATTCTTTGAAAAAAGTTTTTGCATTACAATCATGCAAAATATTGCATGATTTTAATTGCAAATTACAATCAAATTACAATATTGCAAATATTTTGTATTTTCTGTCACATAAGGCAGCATGACAGCCTGGGATTTATGCACATTAAAATGTGTGCTAGTGCTTATTATGTTTAAAGATTTAATGTTCTTAGTCACCTGGTGGGACTCCATTTGTTACCCATGACTCCTGGAGCTTCATTTTCTCCTCACTTTCATACGGACCAAACAAAAGACCATCCCTTTCTTGCCTTAGATAGTATGATCCTTCTAAGTCACGGATCACAGGCAATTCTGTTTTTAGGGCTTTCACTTCAGGTATAGTTGATGTTACAACATACTGATGATGAACAGGTATTAGAGGGTGCTGCAGGCCAATCATCTTGCCTACATCACGGGCCCAGAAGCCTAGAGAAGAAAAAAAACAAAACCAAAATAGAAATATTCAAACATTCATTTCAGTGAATGGAAAATGACAGTAAAATATTTACAGTATACACTGTGCTTTTATGTGCGACAATTTTTTCCCCCATACTTCTAATTTTCACTTCATTTTTCATATTACTAGCATATTTTTCCTTCCATAATTCCATGTCCTTTTTTTCCTAATTATACTATTATATATTATTATAGTATGCACATATCAAAATATAACTAGTAAATTATAAATTAGACTTCTAAAAGTTCAGAAGAGAATTTAATTAACAGTTCCAGAAACCCCATGGCTTATTTCAGTAAAGTAGGTCTGCAGTGTACTCCTAGCAAAGTTAGAGACACTTAAAATCCAGAATAAATTAATTTACATTAGAAGGGTCAACCAAGACCCGTACTATCAACCAAATGAGCTAGCATGTTTTAACAGTACACTAGTTAAGTCCTAACATCCCAACAGACTAAGGCAGTACTTTTCAGGCAACTGACCTCAGGAATTTGAGTTTCTCTCCTTTTTCATATGCATCATGTGACTCACATTAATTAATGTCTCACACAGGATTCAATTCATAATGATGCTTGTATTGGTGAATAGTCAAGTGTGCTCTCCCACAGCCATCACATTAGAAGTTCTGATACAGACTCTGACCAGAAAATGCAAGCAACCATTTCCCTGCCTCTGCAGCTGGCTCAAGATCCTTCACGCATACCGTGAGACAGAAGTCAGAAAAGACCTAATTCTCCTGTTTTAAGGTTAAATTGGTAAGGCACACTCACTTAGTGAAGTATCTGTGTCAGAATGAAGGAGTGGAAAACACTTAACTGCCAAACACTAGTTTGGGCTCTGCATCATGGCTCTCACATCTGCTGTGAGGTTGGAATAGAACAGACTTGGGAACCAGACAGGTACAACTGACTGGAACAGCAGCTGCTCTAAGCTGCTTTGAATATCCCTCAACCCCACTCTCCTGACTTTTATATCAAGGACCAGAGGTCTTCAAGACTGGGAATGAAATGGGAAAATCCAATTAAATAAGAGTTTCAGGGGAGTTTTGGAGTGAGGGTTGGAGGAAGACAAATGAAGAGGTAGCAGGGCCTTCCAAATAAATGGCTGTGTGCCATATGGCACCAAGCAAAAGAAGGCAAGTCAGCCTGGTTCCTGGGTAACCAGCTGACTCCAAACTGCTTAAGACAAAATATCTCCAGCAAGATTTTCTCCCTAACACAGCTGTCCCTTCTCCTGGGACATAGACTTCATGCTGCCCAGCTTAATGTCAACTTTTCTTCCTTTTTGCTGTTTACTTGTCTTAACCAAATTCTCCTACCTCTCTCTTCAATTACTCTCCAAGACCTGGTCAAAATTTCTGTGCCCCAAGGACACCAAAAGGCATAAATGAGCTTGAATAGCTTCACCAGGCATGTCCACCCATACCTGTGGGCACAGGAGTCCCATTCCAGGTCAGCTCAGGTCCTTCAGAACCTGTCTGAGCTGGTTTGATTGTGTGCCTGTTTACAGCTCTGTCACAACCATGCCTGTGCCTGGTCATGGAACTCATTGATCCAGACCCTGATCCGTGGACTACTTCTCAGCTTGACCTCAGCTCAGTCTCAAATCTACAGTCCTGCTTATTGATTGGCGGGCATCATTTGACCTCGGTTACCGTCACGAGGCCTGTTCCTGACCTGTGGTAACATTCCTGGCTCGGCCTCAGCCTGGCATCATCACTATTGATCTGACTGTGCCCCATCTTCACAAGTCCATCTGGAGGCCTGGACCGCGGGCTTACCCCAGCTGCAGGTCCTGGGCCTCCCCTGCTCAGTCCCCTGTGCCCTGCCGGACAGAGCCCTCGCTGGCTCAGCCACCCTCGTTTCCCTGCTTGGCTCCCTGTCCTGTGGGGAGCAGCCGGCTCATGCCGCTTGCTGACATTAACTGGGAATACATCCTCTCACCTCCGGCATGGCTTGAAGCCAGGACAATTAGGAAAGTTGAATTGGGCTGTGCTGGCCTTGTGCCATTCCCCTGTGCCAGGATGGCTGTCAATCTCTTATTTAATATTACAAACCAGCCACAGGGCCTAACACCATGGTTTTAAAAAAATGTGAAGTTTCAAGGAAAACATTTTCTGTGGTTATTCACTTAACAGTTACTGACAGCCAGGTAAGGAAAAGCAGCAGAGGAAATTCAGCATCAACTTCAAGAGATCTGTTCAGCTAAAAGCCCTTGCCCAGTAAATGCTAGAAACTAGCACCTGTTGCAGTTGTCATATGTAAGGCTTTTGCTTCTAAATGGCATCTCAGCATTTGGAGGAGACTCATTGCCAGAACATTTGTTCTATCAGTTAAATTGGTTGAGGCATGATTGTGCCATAGGGTGATCCAAAACATCCTTCAAGGCTAATGAAACATTACTTATGTTCTCCTATACAGAAGACAATGAAAAAATTTGAATAAATCTGCATTTCTAGCACATATGCAAGGGTTTCCTTCATTACACGGAAGACATGCAAATGTGGATTTAAGTGGCAGCTAACAATCTTTAGGGAGCTCCTTTTGATTTGGGCATTTCTGTGTCACCTACAAATAAAACTATTTTAAGGTAAGGTGAGCTAGTGATCCACAGAGAACAGAAGAAGTTAAAGCAGCAGAAAATTAGGTCTTTGAAAGAGCTTTGTTTCTTTCTTAATAATAAGAAATTTCTTAGCAATTAGATTTTGAGAATAACATTACACACTGAGCTAATTTTAAAGTGTTTTTAAGTAAGAGACAAATAGTTAGGTTTGTTTAAAATAAAATTTACAGCACGGTTATTCTAAAAAAGTCACACATGATAAGTACTTTTTAATTGCTTAAAATAACAAAAGGTGACATTTACTAAAAGAAAAATACTACAGTTTCTTTGTTTAAGGTGTTTGAACAAAAACAAAAATGGAAAAAAGAAGAATACATTCTCTGAAACAAAATTCTAATTGGAAGCAGATGTCAAGTCATATCACACATAGTAGAGATAAATGAAGGCATCCATTATATCTCTAGGACATTTGTGAAGATTAAATTGTAGACACTGCAAACATCTGATGCTGAAATATTTAGTGGTAGTATTACTTAACATATCTGCCAAAGTATGTCATCTGACTATTTCTTGGTTTTGAAAAAGAGAATCTTCTGCCACTATATATAAATGCTTGTATATATAGCACATGCATGTCTGAAAATACATGCTTATATACACACACCCACACTGTATATACAGACAAAATTCACAATTTTTGAGACTTTAATCAAACATTCCATTATAAATAGGCTGCAATTAACTTCAGCAGGCTCAGTATGGTTGCTTCATGTCAGGGATTATTTATCAGGCATCTGCTTTCCCCTAAAATGGAAATCTCACATAAGGAAAAGCTAAAGACTGGTTGGAACTAGTTTGTTCCAGTTCTGCAGCAGATGTCAGTTGCAGGGTGAGGCGGGGAGGAGGAAAGGGAATGTAAAGAGCCTTCTGATGTATTTTTCTCTGCAACATGAGCCTAAAATTATACAAGTCATGATCTGTAGTGGAATGAGGCAAGGCTGAGAAAAAGAATTAATGTTATCTGAGAAAACATTTATAAGAGATATGTGTTATACAGTATTGATTTTACATCATTAGCCAGAATGTTAAGCAATATGTGCTTCAAATATTCATTTTGGCTGAACAGTTAACTACACAGGAGAATTAAGTAAATACATTGTTGATTTATAAACTTATTAAATAATGAAAAAAAGACTTATGAAAAGTCCACAAGAGTGCATTCTAATATTTGCAAATAAGCTCTGAAAAGTATTTACCAGAAAACCCTGCCTAATATCAACTTGATATATTAGCCAAAGAAAGATAACTATACTACAAAAATATAAGAAAATTACTACATCTGTGATAATTCATCCTTACGATGCAGAGCGAATAGGTGGGAATAATGAGTGTCTGGAATTTTGTGGCCTAAATAAGTCTGATTGCCAAGAGAGCTGCCTTTCCCTTTCGTAATCTTAGATCTGTTCCAGACCAATATATCCACACTGTGTAAGAAATGACATAAGGATCCTATTTGTAAGAGAGCTTGTGATTTTGTAACTGAATGCTGTTCCATAGTTCATGCCTGAAAGATATGAACTGTCAGTCCAAAGGCAATCAAATATTGACACCTCTCATTTTCCAAGTGCTTGACTTTGTGATTTACATAAAATTTTTTAAATTTGGTTTCCCTGGTTGTGTGACTGATTGCCTTCTAAAAAGCTTACTAAACTCTTCTAGTCCTCTTTCTCTCCAAAATTCATTATGCGGCACTCATGAGCAAGCTTAGAGCCTCAGAATCTTGCTATTTTAACGAGGCATATAGCAATAGCAGCTGATCACCAATGTATGGAAAGCATATATAAGGAAGTGCACTTTTCCATGGGTTTTCCTGTAGGTCTTTACCAAAAGCCTGGAATGATTTAACACAAGACAGGGTTGTCTATATCCCAGAATCTGAAAGAAAGACCTCTAAAGCACATCCCCTGAGAGTCTAGCTGTTTGATCCCACTGTCTCTAAATTTCTCTCTCTTTTTTTTAATGCTATCTCAAATTCTACTTTTACTCCAGTCCTTACATCCTTCAGCTATTTTGTCACCATGTGCTAGTCAGTCTCTCTCACTTGTCAAGTTCTGTCCCAGCAGCCTTCTCTTCCTTCCAATCCACTCCTATCTACCCTTCCATTTCTATGACATATTTCACCAGTCTTTCATGCTTAAGCAGGTCAGTTTTCCACTAGGTTTCCCATACAACCATTGCTTGAGTATCCTTACTAATAATTTAATCTGAAAAGCTCCTAGCTTCAGTTTCCTTAATGAAACAAATCAGATACCTTCCCACTATCTCTCTGGTGTCATCCCTACTGCTGCCATTCACTCCCAGTTGGATCTTCCTTATTCAGTAAGTCCTGTATTATCTAACTGTTGCACTTGTTGCCAGTGCTCCTAATCACTTCCAGAAATCTTTCCAAGGCATTTTTCTCTCCCAACCTATTACCCTTCCAGTCCAATTCCTTCATAATTCCAATTGTCATCGATGGTATTTTACCCCCCAACAAGAGTCCCTGTCTCACTTAACTTCATTTTATCTGTCTTGCACTAGAAATAGGTGCTTTTATTTTTTTTTTCTGTTCCACTGCAAATATAGAGAAAGGAATCATAAAGGTTTATTCTTGCTCTCAGTTCACTTGTCCATCTGAGTAAGAAAGTCAGGTTGGTATATCACAGCTTCCAACTGAAGCCTGATGATTCACTGCAATGGGAGGTATGCGGGACTAATGCCCTAAAAATGCAGATATGATCCAGTTTGAGGCAGAGTCAGCAAAACTTTTATCTATATGGTAAATATTCAGCATGTTTTGAAACAACAGAAAACAGAAAATCTTCTACTAGGAAGCAGAAAGCATGCTTCACATAAGACCTTTCACCAATAATTTATTTTTCTACACTTGTATAAAGCAGCAGAATAATAAACGAATAAATTTAGATTTAATATAGGTTTTTAGACTTATTAAGTTGCTTAGGAAAATAAACACAATTCCAAAGGACACTTGCCCAAGTTCTTTGAAGCAGAAGCATCAGTTTGGCCTCTTTAACACAATGAAGAACAACATTAGTATATGTAAATACAAGCTCCCCTGAGTTAGGCAATTTTTATGACATACAAAAAATGCACTCTTAAGCCAAGCACATGTTTAAAATGTGACTCAAAGGACAACATAAAAATCTTCCATTTCAAGGGTATGTGTGTGGATAGAGTTAAACCTTGGAGAAAGATCGTAGTGAAATAGGCAAGGTCAAATTCTCAGTCTCTTAAAAGAAACAGTGAAGTTATTTCTATTTTGTGTGTACATTCCATCTGCTTCCTAGGTATGTTTCATTAGGTTTTAGAGACATGGACAGTTCACCTATTGGGCACTGGAACAGGCTCCCCAGGGAAGTAGTCCCAGCACCAGCCTGACAGAGTTCAAGAAGTGTTCGAACAATACTCTCAGGAAAATGGTGTGACTCTTAGGGATGTTGCTATGCAGGGCCAGGAGTTGGAGTCCTTGATCCTTGTGGGTCTTTTCCAAATTAGTATATTCTATGATTCTGTGACTCTAGACCTGGACTCTCTCCTACACAACTTATTGTAGACCACTAAAGGTCTCTTTTGCTACAAAAAACCTAAGAGGGCAGTCTGATAACTAACTGCTGGAGACAAATCAGGGCAAATACTTTTAATGCCAAATCAAGGGCAATAAATATAAGAGCTAAATTTTCACCATACTGTGAAGAAATATGTGCAAACCACAAACCAAGGGAATGTTCAAGAACACATATATTCCCTATACATGTAACTCACACAATTCAGTACAGGTGCTTTGTGTTAGTTAGTAGGTAAATCTGAAAAGCACTCTAAAGCTTATAATAAACCTTACCTGCAGTATTCACAATTCTCTTTGCTTGGATTATTCCAAGTGGAGTTTCAACTTCCCATGTGCCATCTGATCGGGAGTTCAGATTAGTCACTTGCACAGGATAATTTAGTTGAGCACCGTATTTTCTGGCTCCTGCAGCCAAGGCCATAGTTAGAGAATAAGGATCAATATGACCATCTCCAGGGTTATACAGGCCAGCTAAAACCTAAATGGAGGTAAAATCCCCCAAAATGAAAGAAAGTACAATTTATCAAAATCAGATTAAAAAAAAAAAAAAAAAACAAACTACTTTCTTACTTGAATACAGTAAACTTTAGGAAATCAAAGAAATTTTCAAAATATATAATAATTTTACCCAACCTAACAATGGCCTATGACAGTCAAATTCCCCAGATCTCCCATGCAATCAAAGGTTGCAATTCTTGAATACTATAATATTACAGACACAGTAATTAATAGTATGTACTCTAACATACAGTATGCATAAAATTCACAAGTTCTGATTTTAGGCTATGATACATCTTCTTTCCAATGAAAAACAAGAATCTGTTGCACAATTTGTAAAAAGAAAGGAGACTGTTCATGTATATTTCTGACAGACCAATATTTAAGTGCAACAGAAGTTACATATCATAAAACTAGCTTCTTTACCTTATCCATGTTCAATAAGGGAAATAGCTCTTGCACTTTTTCAGGTGTGATTAAATATTGTTCTGTTGGGTGCCAACCAGCACGAGTCATTTGGTATTTGAATTCATCCACCCTAGTAGGGGTTGAAGCAATTCTGATACTGCCAGGCTGATGAAACCCCACGGGCTAAATCGAAGAGAAACAGCAAATTACTGAAAGAACCTTTGCTGATTGCCATATATGTATTTTTTCTGTGCTAAGAGGAATCTACAGGAATTTTTCCACTAACATCATTAAGAAAAATGCAAGTAAGCTATGGGCCCTTGAAGGAAGAGGCCTTGGATATAGACTCCTAGAAAAAATTTTTCATGAAGTTATCAAATTAGCTCCCTAACTTCATACATACAATCTTCAAAACAGTTGAAAGAAGTATTCATTGAATGCCATGATACATCCATTTTTACTAACAACTAATATATACTTGATATATGCACTCACACACTTTCAAAACTAGAATCAGATACTTCTCAAAAATAAGTATATATTATATATATTATTTTAAAAGCTGTCATTGGCATGACTTCCTATTGAATGTATTTAACTAAGCACCTTTATAAACACAATGAAAAAACACTCACTGGTTTTGTCTTTTTAAGAAATTAACATCCTTACAGAGCTGGACACTGAATGCTTACTTTTCTTCACCTTTTCTATGTTATCTCACAGGACAGTGATAAGGCTGAATAAGTCTTTCACTGGAACTCACAATGATAATCTGATGTGCCAGCTTATCTAGTTGAGTAGCAGAAAGAAGCAAAAACATTTTATGACAAATATTAAAAATATATGAAATTTGTAGACTAGTAACGTGAGGTTCATTCAATTTCTGCTGCTGTCCAAAACAAGCACAAGTTAAGTAAATGAAATGTATAAGGCTGAGAGATGTCAAATGAAAAAGATGACTCCTGTGTTTCACCACATATCCATTCCTTAAGTCACTAAATAAAAATGCTGAAAGGGACGCAAAGAATTGCAGCAATCTTCTCAAGTAGAGATAGCATAATATCATATAAATTTTTAAGCAGACATATTTAAGGCAGGAATGTATCATAATCAATCTGTTCGTTCCAGATTCCTTATACTATTTTAGCTCCTTTATCAAGTTAAAGTTGCAGACTCTCTGTTGTGTCTTGAGATGTTTTATGAGCATCATTTTCCTAAACTGTAGAGGGATCTGGGAAACTACCTACAAAATGTAGTGACTGGGTATGAAGAAGAATGTATTTCAATAAAAAGGTATATACTGCTACTTCACACCATTATCAACTACCCTTTTTTGTAAGACTTTTGATACAATTGATATTGCACTGAATTAACACTTCAAAGGTTAAGGGGATTACCTGTCCTGTCTCTTCTTCCAGCTTTTCATAGAGTTTGATGCTGTAAGCATGGATTTTCTTCAGGTTTATTCCAGGATGAAAATAAGTCGTTAAACCAGCCTCAAATAAGAAATAGGAACAATAGATTAGAAATGCAGTATTCTTGCCTTCCTTCCAACTGTCATTTAAAAAGGAACTGCCAAGATACTGTAAAGAAAAACAACACATGGATGGAGCCAACTGCTACAAAAATAAAAATAAGTATTTTCTGTACTTTACCATTTCTGTATCCTGCACAGGTGTTTTCCCATCTGTCTTTTCTCACCAAGTCTGCCAACCCATGATAGTGTTGCAGTTGTTCTCGCCTATCTGAGATCTCAATTTATATACAATATCATAGTGCACCAGATTATTGAAATGCCCAGATAATCCAGTGGAAAAGAGTGAAAAATTAATAATTTGTCAGTATAATATTTTACAGTTCTATCTATAGTATATTCATAAATTTGACTAAAAGTATTTTTAGCAATTTTCATTACAATCTGAGTTTAAGAAGAAATCACAGAAAACTACAGGAGGGAGATTCATCTAGTAAGGGCCCCATGAAGAACAAAGCAGGTATGATGATTTCAGGAAGTCCTTGGGCTAAATTAATAGTCTGGAAAAAATATTCCTTGTTCATTTCTTATTATCATATTGAACCATTAGCATCATACAGGACACAGCTGAAAACTACATATTTGACTAAATGTGATTTTTATCTCATTTGATACAAGTGTGTACATGTTGTGAACACATTTATTAAAATTACCTTAGAGTAAGCTCCAGGGCTGTTTCAGTGCTGAGTTTTTAGCTGAAATTTGTCTGTTTATCAAAAAATGTGTTTTAAGGGCCTTTTTTCACTGTGTACAGAATGAAGAAATAAAATAGGCATTGAAATATTTAAATTTCCTTAGCCATGAACAATGTCTAAGATAAATTAATTTACTTCTACTTGCAAATTTTGTTATCTCATTTTGGTTTTTCCTGTATTCTTTTATTTATGTAAACATTTTATGGTCTTCTGTTATTCTTCCAAATGTAGTAATAAATCTTCCAGATGTAAGGAAATTCCATTTTAGTGGTCACTATTAGTGTAGTCATTTTGAACTAAATGAGTCACAAATCACTTGCAAGTTAGCTACAAACCCATATATATTCATGAGCATTTAATTACAGGGATTAAATAAATACTTCAATCTCTTACACTTTCAAGTGAAGAAAAGAAGTTTAAATGCACTTAACACCTTTTGGGTTGAGATAATAAATGTTTCTGATTTCAAGAGTGCAGCTGGCAGACAGCTATAACCTGATTTCACTAAATAAAAATTGAGATAATAAAATCATACAATAATTTTAATGAAACAAAAAGATTGAATGGGTCCTTAGGAGATTACTCTTAAATTTCATATTCAAAGCAGGGTCAGCTACAAGATCAGACCACATTTCTCAAGATTTTTTCCAGATTCTTTGAGAATCTTAAAAGACAGTGGCTGCTCTACTTTCCTAGATTCATATGGAACTTTACATTTGGCCTTGATAAATTCCATAAAACTGTCCTTTCATCCTTGCAGTTTGCCTAGGTCCCTAAGCATGGTTGCCCTGCCCTTGAGTGCATTGTCTACTCCTCACAGTTTGGTGTAAACTTCAAAAGTGGATGAGCATGTGCTTCATCACCTACTCCAAATTACTGATAAAGACTTTAAACAGGATGGGTCCCGGGGCAGATTCCTGTGACATTCCACTTATTTCCAGGATTTGAGTAGAATATGACCCATTCACCCTCTAAACCCAGCCATCCAAAGAGTCTTTTAACTTTCTAGCTGTCCAGCCACACAGACTATAACATCTTCAGCTGAATAAATGGATAGTGTGGGAGAGGGTGTCTAAAGTCTTGCTAAAATCTAGGTAAGTCTCATCCACTGATCTCCCCATGTCTAAGAATTCATAATATTCCATAATAGACAGCAATCAGATTTGATCTGACATGATTTATTCTTTGCAAATTTATTTTGTCTCTTGCAAATCACATTTTTTTCTCCTTTATGGACCTGGGACTCACTCAATGATTTTCTGAAGAACCAGATTAGGGGTAGCTGACCTTTAGCTCCTCTGCTCAGTCCTTTGGCTTTTTCTAAAAGTCATATATATGTCCTTTGCCAAATCTCTGACACCTCCACCAATTTCAGTAGTATTTCAAATGTGATACATCTGTATCACATTTGCCATGAATAGCAGCGTTATTGGATGCAGCTGGTCTGCTCCAACACATGAGCACGTGCCAAATTACCCCAGTAATCCCTGGTTTGGTCCTCATCCATTGCCTGTAGTTACTCTCCTCCTTTAAACCAGAGGCAAGAAGGCACTGAGACCTTATGAGTGTAAATTGTGACTGAATTACTCACCTCATTCCTTTATTTTCATTTTTTCAGCCTTTTGCTATTAATGCAGGAGTAGAAGCAGTTTGTGTTGCCTTTCATTTTCCTCACAAATCTTATATTTAGTTGAGACTTGGCTTTCCTAACATCCCCTTCACATACACAGGTAACTTTTCTAAATTGCCTGATTTTCAGCTTTTTCCTGCTCTGTCACCAGTATACTGCATTTTCCTCTAGAATTCAGTTGTGAATTTGTTCTGGCCCAGCTGCTTTCCCAAGGCATCTACATGTTCTCCTGAATTTCAGCGTGAACCATTCTTGTAGTTGAAGGAGATTTTTCACTAGGCTTTACTCCATTTTTCTAAGAGATTTGTTATTCTACATAAACAAGATCTGGAAAAATAATTTAAAGAATGGCAACTTTGCTATGAGAATTGACAAAAATATTTTAAAGCATTTCTATAGTTGAAATTTTTAAATGCTGAAAAGTTCATGCACCAGTTTTGTTCTATTTCAATCAGTTTCAGATTTTATTCTAATGCCATTATTAAATTAGCTTTCTGAAGGAAAATGTTATTAACACTGTTATATACTAAACTCTTTCTTGTTGCAAGTGTGACCAAATTGTAACAAGTTATTATTTGACTTGCGCTGTGCTTTACTGTGAGCAGCAAAATCAATGGCATGTTGCAAGACAAAGTATAATATAACATGTAATAACTCACTCTGTCACATCTTTTCATAACTGGTAATATAAAAATGTGCATATTTGTTGTGCTGTCTTAATAGCACATATGAAAGTCAGTCAAAGTTATCTCAGACCTGAGAAGTGAAAGAAAGTTTTGGCAGTGACACCAGCAGGAATATTAGCTATCTGAAACATGATCCTGAACTCTGGCAGGATCTTCCTGGACCATCTAAGAGGTAAAATGTTGTGTAGTGCAGCAACATCTGAACCAGACTTTCAACATTTGTGGCTGCAGGCAATGTGCTATGTGCCATTCCACATCTTAACAGGATGTGTAACTGTCATCTGTATTTAGTGTCTTCTGTATTTTGTGAGGAAAACACTGATAAAGACAGAGTATCTGGTAGAACAAGGAACTCACTGTCATAGTTTTGATCTTTCTACTCATCTGAAACAGACGTCACCAACTTTTTCATCTTCAGACAAAGTCTTCTAATAGTGAGTTCAATGAAAAGAGACAATGAAGAAAATGAGAAGATACCATGTAGTCATCTATTTTAACATGGCCCATAACTAGGGATTTTGCTGTGTTAATTGCATCAAATTCCTTCTAAGAGGTGTCATGAGGCATCTCTGTCAATTTTGGTAGTGCGGGCATTTTCTCTGCTGAGCTCCAGCTCCTTACCTTTGAAACTGACCCTCACTCAGGGCTCCAGTGCTGCACTCACTAAGAAGTCTGGGAAAAAGTACTGGAAGAAGGGTTGCTTTAATACTGCTATGAGCAGTAAGGGTGAGTGAGTGTAACAGCAAGAACACAGCAAACATTCAGTAACAACATCATTCATGATTCTGGTTCCTTATAGAACTAGGGGATTTTTATTGTTTTTTTACAAACATATTGTTTTGTATATGCATTGAGCAAATAAAATTCAGTCTGTGCCTCTATTTTGTAGTTATGATTCAATACACAAGATGCATGATCTGGCATTTTACATGGCATTGCTCTGTTTGCCACACTGTTGTATTGTACAATTACTGAATGTTGTTTCTTCTTACTACACACAGCGTGGTTTCTTTTGCTTTGTTTATTGAAAAGCAAGTAAAATGAAGTATACTACTTATACACTGCAGGCAATGATATTTTTTTTTTAATTTCTTTTTTTAATATTGTTCTCTCAAAAACCCCAAAAAACACAAAACATCTGCACTAAGATGAAGCATTGCAGACTTCAGACTTCCTCCTCTGGGAGAAGTATGAGAATGCAAATAAAATATAATTAATTAATTTGTCCTCTGAAATGTAAATTATTGCATAAATGCTCTGTTGTATGAACAGAGTAGATCTAGAGACATCAAACTATTGGGTTTCTGCTCTTTTGTGTTGCTACATACAGAGATAACGATCTCCCAATTTCAGTTAAGAAAAGCTGGAAATAAATGGGAAAAGCATCCATTACTGTATTATTGTGGCAAGCTTTATTTAATTTTGTTACATTACCTCTCCAGATGTAGATTCAGAAAATATGTAATTACATAAATGCACATCGTGAACCAGTATGACCATGTGATTACCGTTATGAAAGGAAGTGTTGGTACCCTGACATTATTACATGTATGTCTTTTTAGTTCTTGTCCTCAGAATGCAGACAATATGCAGGCTTAAAAAACCCAGAATGTCTATTTGTTACCTTTGCTCCTCCAAGATTTTATGTAATGTCAGCAATGGCATGAAAGAGAAGGAATAAAAAGGTAAGGAAACTTCCACTACCATTGTATACACAAACGACTGTTAATTTGAGACAGGAACAAAATATTTCTTACTGCATGCCAGGTAGATCCTGCAGTGAGCTCAGATTTTTCTAGCAGAACAACATCTTTCAAGCCAGCTTTAGCCAAGTGATAGGCTAGACTCACACCAACACAACCACCTCCGATGATCACTGTGTCTGCCCTGTCTTTCCCTAAGGAAGGAGATGAGGCTTCTTTACTAAAAAAAAAAAAAAGAAAAAATTACAGACAGTTAGAAAAAGTTAAACTTTTCCCCATTTCTTTTGTTTATAGCTTCAGCCATAATACACATGGGTTTCTACTTGGGAGTTTACACACATAGCTTAAGACTGAACCTGTTCGCTCACATCCACTTTTAAAGTAAATGTTGTCTGAGGGTCATATAGGTAAACAGCTGTAATAAAAAAGAAAAAAAAAAAAAACAAAACAGAAAACAACAAAACAATTTTGCTGCCACTTGCAACTTTAGATATTATTTATCCAATGTACCCTTATATGTAGATCCTATTTCTCAAAAAGAAGCTGATGCATAACATGACAATATCAAAACCTGACTTTTCCAAAGTACTGTAGCATGTGCAACAAATAGGCTTTAAAAATACTTACTTAGTAAGTCCCCTTAATAAATTTCTAAAACCAATGTCAGTAGACTAAGCCAGTATACATGTTCATGAAGAAAAAAGCTGGATACTTACTTTCATGCTCTGTCTATTTTGCCATGTTCACAGTGTCACAGAATATTCTGAGTTTGGAAGGTACACACAATGAACATCAAGTCTAACCTCTAAGTGAATGGCCCATGCAGAGACCAAATTCACAACCCTGGTGTTATTTGCACCATGCTCTAAACAACTGAGCTATTCCCAGAGTTGGCATCTCCTACTTTGCTTAAGACAAAACATTATAGAAACAGGTTTTTGTCAATGGCTCACACGTGCTGCTCCACACTGTACTTTCAAAACTACTTGAGTTCAGCGTAAACCAGAACTGCTGCCGTAAGCAGCTCTATTCTTCTGCAAGTGATCCTCCTCTCTTCTGCCTCATCCACAGACAGCCAAACAGCAAGCCATATGTGGAAATCTAAAACAAATTTTTAAGAAGCAATTTTTTTGGATGTGAGACAAGGTAGCACATGTTATTACAACAGCAGTACAGACTACCATGAATCAACAGTATCTTTCTCTCCAGTTAATCTATACTCAATTTTCTCTCTCCTCCTCGTACACTTTCAACTTCTCTGGCAACAGACTTTCTAATGTATAACTAGTCTCCCATGTCTCCCACTCAGAAATAAAGGCTACCAGTTTTATGTCTTATGAATGGAGATCTTATAACATTTTAAATGCAATTGCAGGCAGAACATGCACCACGCTTATACAATAAATAGTGGTGAATGAAAACTAAAATAAGTGGGAGCACAGGACACCACAGCTGTTCTGTATTTGGTGCACCACACACATGCACAGGTTCTTTTTTCTGATTACATATTAATTGTTGCAAGTTAACAGTAAGCTGTTTAACAGCCAGATGTGTGGTACTTACACCTGCTTCTCTACTGAATTTTGAGGCACAGGGTAACCAAGGTCAAGCATAAAGACTTTTCTTATTGTTCTTTTATGCTGTGGATTTGAAATCTCCTCATGTGCCTTTCAGATTTTTAAAACCTTTGCCCAGGAGCCTGGCAAGAATCCGGGGTTCACCTTCCCAGTGAACTAAACAGGTCACCCAGATGTTTGATCGTGCCAGTTAAAACCGGCCACTGTTTGCTTATCGGTATGGCCCAGAAGACAACAGAAGGGACCTTGTTACACCAGGTCAGCAACGCACCCCGGGCTGGTTCTGGCTTTGGCGCAGCAGTGCGAGGCGCAGAGAGGCACCTCCGGCCACAGGTGCCGCAGCCGGAGCTGGCTCCCGCCGCCAGCGCCCCTTCTGCGCATCCCGGACAGCAGCGGCACGGGGGCCGCGACCGCGACCGGCCCCTCTGCCCGCGCCCCCTGCCCGGCCCGGCCCGGCCCGGCCCGGCCCGCACTCACCGCCCCTGGGCGCCGAGGGGCCCGGGCCGGCGCGGGGGCCGCAGCCGCCGCAGGGCTCCCCGCAGCACCGCGCTCATCCCGCACACGCCGCAGGGATGGAGAGCGCTGGCTCCGCACCGCTCTCCGCCGCCTCCCGTCCCGTCCCGTCCCGTCCCTGCCCCGCCGAGCCCGGCCCTCCCGGAGGAGGGCGCCGGACCGCCCCTTGGAGCCGGGGGGGGCAGCCGGAGGGGCAGCCGGGGGGGCGCCTCCGCACCTGGGGCCGGGCGGGGCAGCGGGAGGGAGCGGAGCTGCCCCGGCCGAACCAGAGCGCTCCGGGGAGTCAGGGGCCGGGCCGGGCGGGGGTACCGCCCGCAGCGCTGCCCACAGCGTCCCGCCTCCTCCTGGGGCTATAAACGAGCGGCCGGAGAGCTCACCGAGCGAGCCGAGGAGAGCATCGAGCCGTCGGGGCTGCTAGCGTCCCTGGGCGAGGAAGATGCTGCCGATCAGGAAGACCGCGAAACAAGGCAAAAGGGTAAATCTGTTTCCCTCCCTCGTGCAGACCCGGCCGCTGCTTCCCCCCGTCGCGGTGCCCTCCTCCGGCCGCCGCGGGCGGGCGCTGCCCCGGCGGGACGGGACGGGACGGGGCGGGGGAGCAGGCCCGCCGCGGGAGCCTGGCACAGAGCAGGCCCTGGCACAGGGCAGGGCTCCCCGCCGCCTGTCCCGCCTCCGCGGGGTTGAGTCCGCTAGAGAAGGGGAGCCGCTTCTTGACCGGCGCGACCCTCGCCGGTTAACCTCCCTCTAAGGTACTCGGTATCTCCGCAGGTAAGGCGATCTTGTGAAAACGTAAAATAAAGCCATAGTAATTGTACCTGTTCAGCATCGAGACGTTAAGGGTATTTGGACATCGTTATGAGACAGATAAATTAGCTTGATCTTAACGCAGTCACAGCCCATATAATCTTGGTTTCTCTGAACACATAGAATGGAGCCACCAGAGTACAAAACCATGTAGTGTAACACTATTTGATACACAAATTAAGCAGGACTTGCAACACACTTTAAAATAGTAAATTAAAACTAAAATAGTAAATTAAAACTAAAATAGTAAATATTTTAAGGATAAACTGTCATTGGATGAGATTTGTCTCCTACCTGCTCTGTTTAAAAGGTCCAGATTTCTCACCCCTTGATTAATATGACTGATGTTTGTATAATATCAACCTAGACTCCTATGTATGCATGCCCACTGCTCCCCCATTTAGCTAAAGGAATAAGCCAGGAAAAAGTTATCCAGGCACCAGCAATTCATGCCATTAAAGCAAAGCTATGAGCAATATCTAAGTCAAGCTCTCTGACATACATCAGAACTGGTACCCTGTGCTGCTGCTTGACAAGGTCAGCAGAATCATGTATTCTGTCTTCTATTTAAAGGACACTATTGCCATTAGTAGGGCATATCTTTCCCAGAATGGGTTTTACTCGTTTTTATGTGTAGAGCAAAAGAGCAGAAAGACATGGGAAGAAGTCTATGAGCTCTAGGTCCTACAGGTAGATTGATTATACAAGAAGAAGGTATGGGGTATTTGTTCTGCTTTTTATATTTTGGCATATACCACCTAATTTCAACATCAAGCAGAAATTCCCCCTACAAACAGTGGAGTTCTCTTTAGGGCTTGAGATGTGAATAGTATTTTCAAGATTTCTTTTCTCACCACTGATGAAAAGGTGGGTTATAGGTTGACCAAGCAGGATTTTCACTTACACAGTACAGTTACATGCCTAAAGATAGTAGTGGGAATATCTTCATAGGGCCACTTCCACTCACGCTTTCCATGTATAGGTGTAGGGACCATGTGGTGTAACTTCATTCATAGTAGCAAAAAGGACAGCTCACAAAAGCCTTGGATAGCTTTTTACATATACTGTTTTCTGTAATTTAACACATTTTTTTGTCTCCTACCAGATCACCTGACAGTACAATATTGATCTGGATTAGACATAAGTGCACAGCAGTAGGTCTCTGAACAAAACAATGTTGATGCTGAATTTTGGTTAGCCATATGGTGGTTAAATAGGTGGTATTTTACACAAAACAATTTTTACATAAAGTAAAAATGGTGTGAAGAGAAGATAGCAGACCTATAATGAAGTCTGCAAAAAGGTTATTTCCATTTGAATCCAGCATGACCTGACAAACTAAGGTATTTTGTGTTTTGTATTTATCTCTCCTGCCATTAGATACCCTGGCGCTAGACTTAATAAATCACAATATGTTAAGGTGCCATGGTCTATTCAAACATGGCTTATGTTGCTTCTGTGTGTTGAAAATGATGATTTGTACTTCAAAATGAAACAGAACTGTGAAGAAAAACTGCTATTAAATACTAGAAGTGACTTTTTAGAAGAAAGTTCTGTTGTAGTACATCTAAATACATAATATAATAATAAATATAATACCTATATATGATGATGTCATTTTGTGTCTATTACTCAATGCCCAGTTTAAAAAAAACTGAGGCTGCCTTTACATTAAAGATTTCATTTCTTCTGCATGCCTCTTCTCTGCATATCAAATTTCTGAAGCAGGCTTAATCTACAAAAGATTCTTTGGCAGACAGAGGAAGCATGGACTCAAGCAATGAGCTATTACTGGCCCCATTTGAGGCATTCTGTTATAAATGAAAGTAGGTTTATTGCAATCACAATCTTCACAAAACCACCTGACATTTACTCTAAAATTGTTTCTCCCTGATTCTGTGGAAACAAAGATAAAAACTTGCACACTTTGTTGAAGTTTTAAAGTCAATTGGCTCAATATTTTGGCAAGTCCATAATGGAATCTGATGCAGAGATTTGCAAGCCAACACTTGGCAGAGCTGTGCACAGCAGCACTGTACAGACCAGTCCTGACATTTTGCTGCAATGCCAGTGCCTCAGCCAAAGTAGGTGATGCTCTCAGCCAGGACTTGTAGCCTCCAAGGAGCCTCACCCTACTGTGCATGGTACTGAAACTGGCACAGCTGGCACACTGCTCCTTACTGTTGGAAAGGCCTTGTTCTTGTTCTACCTAAACAGCAGTTCTGAGACATCCTAAGGGTTTGTCTTTGTTGGATATATGGCATGAGAGAATTGTGTTAATGAAAGATAAGAAAGATAAGAAATGATAATGAAAAATAAGAAAGATAATAACTGAAGTTTGAAGGGTAATTGTAAAAAAAACCTGTCCACTCAGCATGAAAATCACACTCAACTCTATGTCCATAAGGCTTTTCTTTTTTTCTTTTTCCTACTCCTTCAAACTTCTTCTGTTGAAAGGAAGAAAACTATGGATGGAAATTTCAGTCCGACCCTTGATTAACTCTTATCTATTATTCACTACATAAATGTAGTCTTCATTCAACCCCTTTGTAATATAGATGGAATTATGGTTGCCATCCAATTGTAGAAATCAATCCTACTGTAATAGTAGGTACTTTTTAGAAGGTTTGAACAAGGAAATGAAGCAATTAAAGGAATAAAAGTGCAATGTATTTTAGAACAAGCCAGTATTTGTTCTCATGTTTTTCAGTTTTACAAAAAAGATAATTGCCACTTTCCTTGCATTACTGTGGCGTTCAAGGGAGAAGCAAGGCTTATCTTACATAGGGTTTTGTAAGGTTTGTAATTTGGCACTCTAAAACATTTCAGGGCTGTGCAAAACCAACAGGATTATTTTTTGTTTTGAAAATCTGGGTAAGCAAACCCAGGCCTGTGAAAAGACTGTCAGAAACTGCAAGTCAGCTTTCTGAGATGTGTCTTGTTTGGTAGGAAACTGTTGCATGCTTACTTTTCTGTGGTGCCTGTTGTGCCATCTGGAGTCACAAGCTGCTTGTGGTAAGGCTCTGTGAAGGTGGCATTGGAAGCTAGAGAGCAGATGAGCTAATAGTGAGATCAGTGGTACTAGTGTCTTATTTTAAGAAGTTTCTCATGTATTTTACAGGAGAATTTGAGATGGCGTATTAGTTTCATAGGAACATGACTGGACCACTGACTTGCAGTTCTGGAAACGATATCTCTGGAATACAATATAACTGACTAATGAGAAGCCTTACACACATAATATAAGTGTGCATATTAAAGCCTTGTGCTGCAAAAGAGCAGGTCTACCATTCTTTATTTAGAATTTTACAAAGGAAATTCATTACTATTTATTATTGTGGCAAAAATATTTCTGCTTGCTCACAGATATTTATGTCTGCCTTGCAGATACAGAAAATAGCCATCAAATTGAAGAACTATAATTGTTAACCTGCCCTCATGCTTTCTCCAGGGTATTCTAGAACGCTTGGACGCTGGAGAAATTGTGATCGGAGATGGGGGATTTGTCTTTGCTCTTGAAAAGAGGGGATATGTAAAAGCTGGGCCTTGGACTCCTGAAGCAACTGTAGAACATCCAGAAGCAGGTCAGTTTTACTGGGAAATTATATTCCTATAGTGAATGTAAACAATGTAATGGTTGGCTAAATAATAAATATATAGAGCTTTTAGTAGATTTTTAAATAGAAGTGTTCCTTGATACTATAGAATTACATTAAGAACAGCCTAAAACCTCATTTTGCCTGTTTTACTTGCTCTAACACTGGCCAAAATCAGTTTGCTCTGTAGGAATATGAGTAGTGCAAACATCTACTGATACCTCTTCAGAATGCTCTCGCAATTTTTAATAACTTGCATCCCAGGGACTTTTTCATGCAGATGTAGTTATATTTGTGTTTAATAATATTCAGTGATTTCTTTCTCATGGATTTGTCCAGTCTGTTCTTGTGCTGATCATTTAAAACTTGTAATTTAAATACCTTACAAAAAGGAATTCTGCAGTTAACTATCTGATTTGTTCTGGTAATTCAGTTATATTTATAATCCAAAATAGTTTTTTTATTGATTCTTTCAGAGAAATGGCAGTTTTTAATAAACATCGTAATGGGAGTATTTAATGTTTCTGGCTGCACTGTAAAATGGGGAATGATAAACCTGATAGGAACCTAAAAATTGCAATAAACATTTAACAGAGTAACTCTCTTAAAGTGAACAGAGAGAAAATAACCAACCATTTTATGCCTTCCAGTGTAAAGACTGTAGTGTTAATGATAAATAGTGCAGAAGCGGATGGTATTATCTATTTATGCATGCTTCATTACAAGAAAGCATTTGCCCTAATAATATGATGCGCACTTAATCCCACAAGTCAATTCAGAATATCCTGGGGAAAAAATTTCTTTCTTCTAAGTGTTTTCTATTCCAAGTTAGTTTTTTCTGCTATACAGGAGAAGAAGGAAGAGGAGTAGAAGGAGAGATACGTTAGTTCTCTCTGCTACATCACTTTGTACAATTCACCTATTTATTCAGCCTAATCTTTCTCAGCCTTCAAATGTCACTTCTGTGTCACTTAGCATCCCTAATTTAGGGTTATGGGCAGCTTTAGATAATGCAGAGCTCCAGGAAAGGTTTAAGGATTGATGACCTAATTTGCTGACTCTCATCTCCCAAAGAGACATTCTATCATCTCTCTATTTTTCTCCATGTCTACCTCTGTCTGGCCCTGCATGTTCTATTTTACAGCTCATAGCCCTTGTCCCATGCTCTTTCTTTCCCCTTTGCTTGTTATTTTTGCACCTCAAAAGCCCTCCCCACTCTGCACATGTCTTTTATAGGCTATTTATAAATCCACCCTTCAGGGCAAATCTGCTAATTTCTTTTTGTGCAGTGGGGCTTCTTTCCCTCCATGCTTCTGCTCCTGCTTGCTCAAGGGTCATGTTACTTTGGAAGCAGATGTAATAGAACACAAGGAGCAACTGGCAGAGACAGTGGGTGTAACCATACAGCTACCAGAGCTTCTTGTCCTTATAAGGAAAGGAAAAGGAAGGAAGTTCTGAGAAGGAATAATAAAAAAAAAGAGTTCAAGGCCATTAGCTGTATTACAGAAGAGAGGATTTGCCTGACTGGTAATTTTAGAAATTAGGAGATCTATATTTTTCTTCTGAGACAGACTAGGGATTGCTCTATGCTGAGCCATATGCATGGGTGCTTATTGCTCCTATCTCCTCACAGCTTATGTCTGTGTCTTTTATGTAATGTCCAACTCATGATGGATTTAAATGAAAAATTAGTGTTACACATCTGACTCCTAAAATGCATCAAATTATTAATAATGGTTTAGCCTCATGTGTGACTTTTATTCCCATTTCTCAAATAGTGGAGGAAGCATACTGGAAGTCACACAAGTAAACTACAGAGTGGTTTGGGTTTTTGATATTGCACAGTGCTGTGGGTTTGATAAGAACAACAGTGTATTCTACTGGTAAAGCCTATTTGCTTGAGGTTGAATGAGATTCAGGCTGATAGTTATAGCACTATTGTTTCCTCAAAGTGTATCCCATGTCTCCTATTCACAAACCTGGTATTTTGGGGTATGAAGTTCCTTAATCACATGTGTTAGATTTCATTTTCCTACTGATGTCACCATCCATATTCACACAAAACCCAGGCCTTCTTCTAGGAATGGTCTATTATTGAAATGTCATAGAGCATTTGTGAAAATATTTGTAGATTTTTTTTTCTTATTTCCTGACCAGTTTTCATCAATGCTTCCTCATTCAGGAGGATGAAAAAAAACCCACTAGAAACACACAGGGTCCTTTTATTTGGGATCAGTGGCCTATTGTTATGATGTAGGAAAAAGAATACTCCCAGCACTACAACTTTTTTTTCCCTTCATAAAGATGTGAAAATGAAATTTGATCCCAGGCATTCAAGCAGATTCCAAAAACTTTTTGAACAGTACCTCTGCTACAACCTATGTTCCTGGAAAGATTTTTGTGACTGCTGGGCAAAGAAACAGTGTGTTAAATCACCTGTGTAGTAAAAAAATAAGCACTTTGAAGTTACCCAAGGCAGCAACTAGAAATAAAATACTGTACCAGTAGACACAAGCAAGGGACACTACAGCGATCCTTCATTGAAAGCAGACACGCTTGCATGTATGCACATTAAATCTAGTAACACAAAATGTTTTTTGAGCTTTTCTGCTGCAGAAAGCTATGTTTGTTGCAGAATACGGGAGTAATTTTATTCTCATGACAAACTTGCACTTTTTTTAGTGACACAAACTGTGTCTGTGGACAATGAGTTGTGATACACTAGGACTTCAGGAAAACCTTTCTAAACATCTGCCATAGAAATTGCAGTGTTCTTGTGTGTGTAGGTAATAAGTATCTTGTGTGCAGTAAGTAAGGAACTCCTGTATTTTCTATAAGCTGTTAAGCATTTAACTCTGTTTTACATGATCAGTAGCATTCTAGTAATTATTGTAACTATTATTCTGTGGGTATATATATAAAAGCAATTAACAGTTCCTGTTCTGTTGTGGCAATTGAAGTATACTGCTTACAGCCAGAAAGGCATGGCTACCATTACAGAGCCTTTTCCCAAAGTCCTAATGTAGGAAATTTGTCTATTCAAAGTAATGGTAACCTTTCCTTTAAAAGGCTTGTTGTCGATATAGTAAAATCATCATGTGGAGACATATGGGAAGAATTAACTTCGTGCTGTGAGTCACTTTTCTGGAGCAACAAATCTTCTTTTAAGTGAGGATGTATTTAGCAAAATAGATCTTTGGTTTGGCTGACTATACTCTTTAAAAACTTTGCTGGGGGAGAAAACTCAAAAATGTAGACTAGAGGAGGTGATGAAACACTGTATTCTTCCATATAATTATCATGTCCCTTAATTTGTTGATATGATACTTTCTTCTGTTTTCTTCTTCATAATATAGAAGCTAAGAGAAGATAGCTTTTTCATTTGAAGCGCCTTTTGTCTGGTATTCCTTGTTATGCCTTCATATTCTTTTGTCAGTCATCTGTTATCCCTTCCTAAATCACAATACAAAAGCTCTATCCAGCCCTACATCTGGGAATCTGGAGGACTACAGAAAACAGAGGATTGTTAAGGTGGCAGGCAAAACTGAATCTGCAGCTAAACTATATAGAAATCTTCAGTCATTCTTAACAGAAAAGAATGAAGAAGAAAATTTTCTACCCAATGTTTTGATGGTGAGAAGAAAGAAATTCTATGCAGACTTGGGTACTGCTTCTAATTTCTCATAATTGGTTTCCTAGTAAACACAATGTCACTTATTTTACAATAACATTACATCAACAAACACTGGATTTGGGGATAACACAGTAATAACCTTGTCTCTTAATTTGCAGTTCGTCAGCTTCACCGAGAATTCCTCAGAGCTGGATCCAATGTTCTGCAGACCTTCACCTTTTATGCCAGTGAGGACAAACTAGAGAACAGGGGCAATTATGTAGCTGAGAAAATAAGTGTGAGTAAACCAGTTTTGGAGATACAAAATAAGTTGAAAATAAGTTGTTCAATTTCAAAAGGTTTGGCAAAGGTATTATCAAGTTTGTCCTAACAGTTTTGGGTATATTTGAGGACCAGAGAATGAGATGATGGAATTACAGAGTTTGAAATAGCAAAAAAACAAGGTGAAGTGAAAAACCCCAAACCAAAACAAAAATCAAACACAAAATTGGGAAGGGATGAAGAGGGGAAAGAGAATGCCCACATTGTATTTTTCTGTATTTTTATCTGAGGAGATGGGTTTATGGAGTTTAGGTACAAAGATTATAGAGAGTACTAAATGGACAGAGAGCAAAACTAGTGAAAAAATAAAGATGTTTTAGAATCCAGAGAAATTACTGAACTGAAAAAATGGTGAAGAATCTTAGAGAATAATGAACAGCTAATGAGAACAAAATGTTTTTAGAACCACATCTTCATTAAGTAGCAACTAAAATAATCTAAGCTATACGCTGTATTCAATATTCCCCTCCTCTTGTGTGAAGGTAATTTTTACATCAGCAGAAGTACCCTGTCAGTGTTTTCTTACCCCCTACATAGAAGAATTGTAGGATTCTGGGTGTGTTTACTAGACACAGGCCCAAGGTCTAGTGGAATTCCTGGCCAAACATTTCTATATAATACCTTTGATACTAGAAGGTTTGGCATTGAGTGGTTTCTCTGATCCTGTTCCTTTGGTCCTACTGTACATTCTGTCTTCTGCAAACTAGAGAAAATTCTCCAGGGCTCAGGGAGGAAGGAATAGCTGTATCTGTGAAGATATCCTCAGTCTGAAATTAGAACAATCTGGACACTAGGGAAACACTTGAGGCTTAATTGAGTTCATCCCAAAATGTCATATGACCAAATTAATCTGAAATGTTTTACCTTTTACAACACTGAAATGTCTGAAGTGGTAGTCCCAGAAACACAGTAACCCTGGAACAAGTCAATCTTCAATTCTTGCTGATGTGCAGAATTATAAAGGCTAGAGAGCACCTGGTATTTGGATGGCATTACATCAAACATCTCAAAATTTATTTCCTGCCAGTTCTAGAATCAGGTTGCTCCAGGATTTAATTAATTTATGGTTCCACCTCACAGAGTCCCAAAACATGTACCCATGCACAAATGCAAGTGGGTAGCTGTCAGCAACAGCTTTAAAAATCAGCTGGGTTTTTGAGGCAGCCATGTAAAACTTCAGCAGAGAGAAGCTTATGGACTTAGAGACTTCTAAATAGTCTATGGACTGCAGAGAATCTGCTGTAATCAATACTTTTGAAATACCACAAGTAATGATTCTTTTTCCCAGATTTTTTTTTTCTCAGTTTGACCTCTTTTTGAAAAGCTGTTCTGGTCATCCTAGTTTAGATATAGAAGGAATATGACTTCCAGTCTTAGTGATTAATTAGCAATATTTTTCCCTTTCTTTAAGTTGGCAACTTTAATATCACATAATTCATGCTTTCTTTTAAAAAATGTCTTAAATAACCCTGTATGAATATTATATCGGGGGTGGGAGGTGTTAATTATCAGAACAGTAAAATATATTTAAAAAAAGAAAAGTTAGAATTCTCATATATCTTGTTTTCCATTCAAAATTTCAGAATGAAAACATATGCTTAGGTGTAACTAATTCATTTTCTAAGAAGCAAAGAAAATTCCACTTCAAACCAAATATTTGTTTTTTATAGGCTATTTGTGTAAGATCTATTAATTGTAATGTATTTTGTAGTATTTGACAATATGATAACTTAGGGGAGGTAAGAAATTATTTTTCTAATGTTTGTTACTGTTTAAAAGAATCTTATCTTCCTAATCAAGATTACTCTAAAAATCCATTTGATTTTAATTATATTTAGTTTAAATTTAACAAAAATATGAAAAAGCCATTATGACTTCTCACTATTTTTGTCCTTCTAGGGTTCTGCATACCTCTGGTAAGATAAAACTAACAGATTCTATGTTCACACAGTGCCACAAAGTGAATGAAGCTGCTTGTGACATTGCAAGAGAAGTGGCTAATGAAGGTGATGCTTTAGTGGCTGGAGGAGTCAGTCAAACACCATCTTACTTAAGCTGCAAGGATAAAACAGAGGTTAAAGCAGCCTTTCAAAAGCAACTGGAAGTCTTTATGAAGAAGAATGTGGACTTCTTAATTGCAGAGGTAAATCTGTAAAAATAAGTATGTACCTTCAACTGGCACAGTCTTAACTTTTAAGATGTCGAGCCTATTTTAGGAAGCATCCCTACATGTTTCTACCTACTTCAAGATTTTCTGCTGTGCTTTTATCTCAGTAGTATCAGATATTTTTTGTAAATGCCCACCACCATCTGCAGGTGTTCTAGAATAGGATCTTTGAACGCCATTTCTACCTAAGTCAAGTAAAATTCTGTACGAATACAAAGACAAAATGTTGCTGGGATCTGGACTAATCCCTATTTCTTCCAGTACATGGAAAGCAACCTAAGACAACTTTTCTAGTTGACTATAGGTCTTGGGTTAATCCTTGATTAATCTCCCCTATCGGCATTCTTGTTCTGAAACAAAAGTAACATTATTTTTAATTTATTTTTACTCACTTTTAAAAATCCATTTTTAACTGTGTGGCCAGTAAACTCAATTGAATTATGTTAGTATAAATCAGAAAATTATCAAATCATTGTATTGATGGTTAATTTGGGGTCTGGATAGGAATTTTTATATTTCTTTGCTGAGAAACAAAATAGCCTAGTTTTAATTTTTTTCAGTATTTTGAGCATGTTGAAGAGGCTGTCTGGGCAGTTGAAGTTCTAAAAGAATCTGGAAAGCCAGTTGCAGCTACGATGTGCATTGGTCCAGAAGGAGACATGCATGGAGTGTCCCCTGGACAATGTGCTGTCCAGCTGGTAAAGGCTGGTAAGAATCTGTTTTAATGTGCCCTTTGAAAATATGGAAAAAGTCCCTAATTATTTAAATAAATAGGTGTGTATGCCAAGTAGGTAGCTTCCCAGTTGTATCTCATAGGAGTTATAACTCTGTAGAAAAGTCTTTATGAGTACTTTACTCATAAAGAACAGTCTTGTAAAAACATATGGGAATAAAGCTTCAAATCCTTGATTATCTGTATGAAATGGGTAAGAGCAATAGCCATAGAAAACTGATACTGAATACAGCAAAATCCTAAACCTGCTCAAATTTCATTGCAGACCCATCCCCAAATTCTAGAATCACAAGCACAAAGCTGCTTTTGATTCTCTGCTCTTGTTTTTGCACACAGTTCAAACTCAAGATGAGAAAATTAAGAGAATGACAAAATTAATAATATTGCCTATGAAAGGCTGTTTTCTACGGAACAAGGGGAAGGGCAGAAGAAATTAATCAGGGGCATGATGGGTGAAGATACACAAGTTTACATATCTATCCTGAAGTGCTCTTTTCCTTTCAAGTTATAGTTGAAATCCAAAGGTAGAACTTCTGTTAGGAACCTGCCACCTGTTTCCATATGTGGCTCTACATAATCAGACTTTACTGATTAAACACTGTAGGAGGGTAGAAGAAAAAAACATCTGTAGAAGATGTGATTCATCATTAGAAAGGTAAAGAGGAGTGCAGCTGAGATGTAAATGGCATGATCAACCTCAGGAGAGTTGTGCCTGGCTGTAGCACAGCTGCCTTGTTTCCATAGCACTGGTGTGAAGGTGGACAGCACTGCTTCTAGAGTGCTGTGGAACTTTCATCTCCCACTTTCTGGGGAGCTGTGGCTTGAAGTTACTTTCCTCCTCCTAGGTGCTTCTATAGTTGGAGTCAACTGCCATTTTGATCCAGAAACTTCCATCGAAACTGTGAGGCTGATGAAAGAGGGCTTGCAGGCTGCTAAACTGAAAGCCCACCTGATGTGCCAGCCACTTGCTTTCCATACTCCTGATTGTGGAAAGCAGGGATTTATTGATCTTCCGGAATTTCCCTTTGGTAAGACAAGGGTGTATCTTTTGTTGGTGGTGTTGCTTTATTGGCTGTTCCTGGCTTTTATTGCCCCCAGCTTTTAGTACAGCTGAAGCTGCAAGGTGTCCTTTTATTCAATATGATGAGTCCTAGTTATCCTAGTCCTGGCGTTTTCCAGACAGATCAAAATGTAATATTGGAGTAAAGATCATCCACATAGGGAGAACACTTCAGTAGTATCACAGCATGTAACTCAATGTGTAATTATGATGAGAAGAGTTAAAATGCCACAATATAAATTAATTTAAAAAATATTCTTCCTCATGCTATAGAACCCTGTTCAGGACTGCTGTAAACAGTCCAAAGAGCAGCAGCAAATGTAGTAAAAAAACCTCATTTTTCTGGGTTGTGATATGTATCCCACAAGTCCTACATTTACTTGTGTAAGAGTTTAATGTACAATGCAGTACAATGGATATAGGAACATTATTATTGCACTCATAATATTTAAATCTTGTGACTGTCTAATGTATGTGACATTAGAGAGACACCAGAAAGAGGACTTTAATATTGCTAACAAATTAGCAGTTTGGAGAAGAAATCTCCATGTATGCTCAGGAGAAACTCTACAAAAACTGGGAGAGTTAGCCATTTAATATTTATATAAGGCTTGTGTATTTAGGGCTTATTTTCATGTGAGTATTTTGCCCTGTAACTAAGGGCAAAATCAGCTTAAACATTTTAAGACTGATTAGAAAATACTTTCATTTTCAGATAACATACACCCTTCTTTTCAAGATCAGAGTAAATGGTCCCAAAACACTCACAATTTGAATTTGCAGCAAAAAAACCTGAGAAGTAGATGTGATTTTCAGGAAGCTCGTTGTTTTTCTTTAAATTCCTCTTTTTACATAAATGAAGGAAAGAGAATAAAGCATAAGCCTGGGGCATTCATTAAATGGTAATAACACGTCTGAGTCCTGAAAATATCTAAGATGTTTAAAAGTGTTAGGAACTCATTTATCCTATTCATTCCTTCATATAGTTCCGCTGATTGCAAGCAGGAAAAAAAAAGTCAAACAGACGCAGTAAGCAATCAAGTGAATGGAAGGATTCACTCTGGTTTGTTACGGTTCTTGGCTTGTGTGCTATAAGCAATCTGTATGACATCTCAGCATTTAGAATTTCTATGAATAATTAATTGGTGAAGACCTGCTCTGTGAGTGTTTTCAAAACCCTGAAGTAGTAATTGATTGCTTGACAGCAGATAATCTCTTCAGTAAATCATTTTTAAACTGACCAAATTACCTGGTTTTCATGAAGGCAATAACAGGGATATTTAGATATCTGAAGAGTACATATACTCTCTACAGGGCAACAAGATCTCAGTTTCTAGGGAAGCATTAGGTATGTTGAATTGACAAACTCCAGCAATTAGATGCCAGAAAGATTTATTTTTCTGTAGATCTATTTCCATTTTTCTATGTTTTCTCTTCTGTTTTATTGCAATTTCTCTGAAATGTCACCAGTTAAATAAGGACAATGTTTTAGAAAGAAATGACCTAGTCACTGAAAACATACCCAAGGGTAGAAATATTGAGCGGGCAAATCAAAGAGCATGTTACAGTTTTTCCTCATCAAGAATTGTTAAGTTAGAGATACTTAATTCTGAATAAAGCCAAGAAAAGTATTGCATTGACAGACATGGAAAAAATAAATTAAATGTTAGTCAGTTTTGGGAAGGAATCTCTCCAATTTAAAGACAAGAATGTTGTGTGGCACAGTATCAAATGCTTTGTGGAAGTCCAGGAAGGTGACATTCGTCACTCTTCTCCACCAATGCTGTAACCCCATCACAGGAGGCCACCAAATTTGTAGGCATGGTTTGTCCTCAGTGAAGTCATGTTGGCTGCCACCAATCACATCCTCATTTCCCATGTGCCTTAGTACAAGTTCCAGGTGATTTGATCCAAGGTTTTTCTGGGCATTGTAAGACTGACTGGTCTCTCTTTCTCTGGCTTTTCCTTTTTCTGCCTTTTTAAAAGTGTGGGTTATGTTTCCCTTTCTCCAGTCACTAGGAACTTCACTGGACTGTCACAAGTTTTCAAGTATAATGGACAGTGGCTTAGCCACTTCATCTGCCATCAAATCAATGCATCTCATCAGATCACATGGATTGTGACAGGGTGATGGAGATGACAGGGAAACCTATACTGTTCCCCTGACGCTTAGTTGCTTATACAGGTGTAAGTTGAGTGCACAATGATGCATTCTTACTGTTGATCATTTGTATAAATTTTGCATTAGCTTTTAAATAATATATCAAAGAGGAGGAAATAATGCATTTGTTCTTCTGATGCTTTCTATCATATCTGCAGCACTGTACAAAAGCTTGTTTTTATTTGAACAGCTCTCTAAAATGCTTAATCAAAGTTTTCCAGGCCATCTACTTTTCCTTTGTTTCATCTTTCCCTCTGAGAGCAATAATTTTCTTTATAAGAATCTTCAGTTGTCTCCCTTCTGCTTTTTTATTTGTAAACCTTATTCTTAACTACAAAATGGACTTAGGGTATATCTGCTTTCTATCAACTTCTTGCATGTTAGACATTTTTGGGACAGGACATTGGGACATTCTTCAATCCTACTCTCCTTTGTTGCTGGAGCCTTACTACCTCAACCACAGCTTCTTTGCCCAGCAGTGTTCAGTGCACAGACATGATGCTGCACTTAACTGATAACCATGCTGGTTCACATCCTGCAGATGTGCATATCCATTAAGAAGTGGGAGGATTTTTGTCCTTTTATTTCTGTATTTTCATTTCTTAAAGTTTCTTCTTCAGTCCCCATTCTTTTTTTCCAGATGTGCCTCCAGCTCCTTGAGGTGTGCTTTTACTTTTTACTCCTTTACTTCCACAAGTCTACTCTCTCAGGTCTCATTATTCCATCACAATGCTCAAAAAACTTGCAACAGAGATGGCATTCTAAATTACATGCACACAGAACTTTCCACAAGGAATGAGGTGTTTTGAGGCAGCAAGCTGCTCATGACTGGGATTATACCTAAGGGTTGGTCTAAGAAATAGCTAAGATCCCATCTGAAACAACTGGCTGCCAATATCCGATTGTGGAAAAAAGAGCAATAAGCATTTTTGAGGAATAATTACCAGGATTATTCCTATGCCAGTAGGCTGATACGTTCTCCTTTCACAGATCAGTGTGTGGAAATCAGTTTTCCCAGATATTGATTGTTTATTAGGAAATATAGCCATAACATTGAAAGTATTCCAATTTTTCAGCTAAGAACTCTGCAGAATGGTAAACATGATCTGCCTCAGAAGATACTAGGTGCTGTTTTGGCAGGCCAAACATGCTTACAAGCACAGGTCAGTGGAGCACTGCAGAAAAAGCTAGCCTTCTAAAGGTTTCAATCTCTGATTCTAGGTCAGACAGTTCAAACACATACATCTACATCTACAACCACTTTTGCAAACGGAGTGCAAGTGTTTCAACAACATGATTTCTTACCAAAAAAATGGATAAAAATTGAATGGACCATGATGGAAACTTAAGATAATGTCTTTGCAGGTCTGGAGCCAAGAATTGCCACCAGATGGGACATTCAAAAATATGCAAGAAAGGCCTATGACTTAGGAATTCGTTTCATTGGAGGCTGCTGTGGATTTGAGCCATATCACATCCGAGCAATAGCTGAAGAGTTGGCTCCTGAAAGAGGATTTTTGCCAGAAGCTTCTGAGAAACATGGTAGCTGGGGTGATAACCTGAGCATGCATACCAAACCCTGGGTCAGAGCAAGGTACGTATATCTGACCTGGAAGCCAACACACCTTTTGCAAAGGCTTACATTGCTCCACAGAGCACACTGGCTTAGCTGATATGGGCATCTAAATATCACTGTAAAGATTTTATGGTTAGAATTATATGTTTTATGTTTAATCTCCAAGAATTAAAGCTGACCTAAGAGCAGGGCAAGGGGTGAAGGAGAAGTAGAGGAGATCCTGTGAATGTAATTCATGACAATGAAAAGGAGAATATTGTATATCAGCTCCCAGTGGTGGCTTGCTTACAGTATTCCTTTCAAAGATGGAAAGATACTTTTAAAACATGTAGCATTTAATTGCATATTTTCATTCATACTTCTATATATAAATATAATGTCCATCTTTACAAGTTAGATGACCCTTTGCAATTGTCTTCTAAGTCACATTTCCTTCAATATTATGAAGTACTGGGAAAAAAACCCTGAGTTTCTTTTTCTTTATTTAGGGCAAGAAAAGAATACTGGGAGAATCTGAAGCCTGCTTCTGGCAGGCCATATTGTCCTTGCATGTCAAAGCCAGATGGCTGGGGAGTGACCCGAGGAGCCAAGGAGCTGATGCAACAGAAAGAAGCAACAACTGAACAGCAGCTGAAGGAGCTCTTCCAGAAAAAGAAGTTCTAATTCACTGCAGTTATGTAAATCTTAAAATGATTTATCTACAGGCCATCTCATGCTTCAGAAGAAAATCTGTGAAGATGAGTACTGTGTTGATCTGTCAGTCAAAATATAATGAAAGAGACAAAATGAAGAAAAAATGTGATTACATATGTCTAACTTTGATAATAAAATCCTTCTCTGGACAAATAGTTTAGAGAATACACAGTCAAAAGTAATTTTGGATTCTCATAATAATTGAGCTTCTGTTAGCTGAGTGCCATTAATTGGGTAGACACAGAAATACCTGGAAAGTCATAACTGGCTCAATTCACCTGTGAAGAAAGAAAAAGCGATCTATAAATACAGTGTCAACAGACTTCAACTCCCAAGTCTTTTTTCAGTTTGGTTTTATAGGAGCTTCCTCAGACCTCAAGATTTGTTGAGAACTAGTGCAGGAACACACAAACTGCCAATTATTTGTGGTCACTTTCTTGGTTTCAAGAGAACAAAAGTAAACTTAAAAATGTATCTTATAATTGTTATCAAAACCTAAGGAAAATGACATCTTGCAGGAACTTCTTATATGCAGAGAGCTTTTAGAAGAGAAAAATGGCAGGTAGACAAAATTCAGTTTTTGTCTTAAGGTACCATGTACACAAGATTTATTCTTCTGGGGATTAAAAGGCTTAAGAAATTACTCTGCAATCTAAAGAAATGTCAAATAAATTAAAAAGAATATAATTGAATAGTATTGTATTATCTTCACACCTTAAACTGTAAAACCTCAAAAAGTATATTGTTTCTCCAGTAAAAAAATAATTTCCAAATGATGCAGTTTATTTCTGGAAATCTCACTTTAATTACTTGGTTATCTTAAAACAGCAGGTTTCTAAGATATAACTCCCATTTAAAAGAGCAGTACACATCTTTTTTTTTTTTTTCCCTTTTTTTTTTTTTAATCTGATTGATTCACTCTGCAATCTTAGTTTTAACAAATGAAAAACTCTGTTAGGAAATAGATCCATCCATTCAAGTTGAGAAAACCCATGGAATTTGTACACTGATTTGTTTTCAAACAAGATAAGGTTTTCATAGGAAGTGTAACACTATATTTAGAACTTGTAAAGCCCACATTTCCATCATTAATTTTTGTAAGTACCACCCAACTTCAATTTCTGTTTAGAATGAATTTTCACCCATCCTACGTTAAGGCAACTACCTTTATGAAAATCTCATTCTCACAGTCAGTGTTGAAAGATGTAGTTAGACTACTTTTCATGTATAAGCTTATTTCCTTGTTTCTATCCATGCTGGTATTCTGCAGTTCAGGAAACACTTACATAGACAACACTTCAGTGAGAAACTTAATGCATCCTTTTCAGACTGTTATTGGCAGACAGGTTTAAGCCTGCCTTCCCCAGGCTTAAAACATATTAAAAAAACACTTACTAGCTAGAAAAAAGCAGACAAATCAAGAAAGTAGGTATTTTAAAATGCAGATTATTTGGAAAGCATCCATGTGAGTATATATTTTATATGCTTTATAAACTCCTTTCCTTCCTAAGTGATTCTCAACATTACCTCTGCAGAGAGTGAATATTGCAGAATCTGTAAAACACGAATGCCAGATCTTTGATCATCATCAAAATGTATGTAGCATTAAGAACATATGCTTGATTAGGTGGCCTAAAACAGAGGCTACAACCAGTACAGAAGTGTTTTGAACAATTATTACCTGTTTAGGGACTTCTTGTTGCACAGAATGCTGTTTGACCATCATACACTAACTATACGAGTAGCTGGGCTGATTTTTTTGAAACTGTCATAACATACAAAAATTTGTATTGAAATGAATGACTTCACAACACAGAATACTGAAGAACCTGGTATTTATGAAAATATGATTTTTTCATTTTTGGTATCCAGTTTGGAAAGGATGAATTTTAACATATTATAATGAGAAATACTTAAAGGCCATTTAAAGACGTGGAACATGAGAGCTGGCCCAAGAGCAGGGTGAAACAAATATTCCCTGTTTTATTCATATCACAGGCTGGGTTTATAAAGGACTTCCAGTGGGATGGAAACAATTTCAGCATGCTTTATTGATCACTAATAAACCCAATCTACTAAGAAAACCCAAACTCCACCCAAAAAAATCCAACACTGCTGTCCTCAAAAAAACACCCCAAACCCAAAAAACTACCAACCAGCAAGCCTACCAAGCTTTCTTTCCCATTTGTTTCTGTGTAACAATTTAGGCATAAGGAAACTGTTAGATTTTCACATGTTTCTAATGGTTACATGACTTGTTAAGGAAATAAGCCAACAGCACAGTCCTAGGAAATTTGGTTACCTGGAAACCTTTCTGAAAACTTTAGGAGGTGAAAGGGGCTTTAGAGGGCTAGTTCCTGTATTTAGTACCCTAAGGATCATTTATTTGTAGGGCAAGATCTTTACTTAGCCTGTTTGGAAATAAATCTAATGATGTAGCTTCCATGACAACACCAGGTTAGTTCAATGTCTACAATGCAGAAACAAAATATTTGGAGATCGAAGGGACCCCCAAGGATTGTGTTTGGTTACTTCACCCTTAACAAAATTTTCCTAATTTGAATGTTCCTTGGTGGAATTTATTCTTTCTTTATTATTTTTCATTGTTTTTCTCCATTATTTCTTTACAGCTCCTTAGAGACATGAAGACACAAAGAATTTCTTCCTTTGCTAAAGTCTGTTATGCATTTGAAGATTTAAGTACATTCCTTGTTTCTCTCTCAATCAAACATACTCTGTTAATTCATTCTTCCCTCTGAGTCTATGATTTATCATATACCCAGAAATCACCTCCATCAGATCTTTATCCAGACCTTGTTATCTCCTATGTTTTTTTTATCTGTGAGCTGAAGTGAAGTGATCTGAACATCAGAAGTACAGATCCAGAAGTGAAAAGCTAAAGTCTTTGACATTTCTAAAATCTAAATAATTCTTACTCATGACACTGAATGTCAGGCCAAGAGGGACCTGAACAAACCATAAACTTCAGAAACTACTAGCTATCTGCACTACTCATTAGGAGATGGATACATATTAAGTAAGCTCTGAAGTTTCCAAGAAAAAAATTTTCATGCAAAAAAGGGCCTAAAAACCTGCTGTGTAATGGTCAGTTGTTGGTCTGATTTATCTGTAAACCAAAAAAATGCAAGAGGGTGTTGTAAAGAAGGAAAATTGGGAGTTAGTAACAAAACCCACTTTTTTTTTTTTCAGAAAACACAGCTTTTTTTCGCCTGCTCTTTTGAAAAGAAAGTTTTCTAAGACTCCTACTAAATCTGACATCCTCAGGTACCACAAATTTCTTCCTAAAGCAGTTAAGGGCTCCACCTTATCTTTCAACTCTATTCACAAATGCAATGGCAGGTTCAGTGACATTTTTTAAATCTAAATGTCGAAAGAAGTGGATTCATGTATCTGTCTTGTTCTGCTCCATTGATGTAAAAAAATATTGAACATAAACTAATCTACTTTAATCCTGCATTTAAGAATAGACACCAGTGAAATAGGACAGAATATTATGGTAAATAATATAGGGCAGAATATTATGGTAAAATACATTATTTCAGCAGCTTGCTCTGTTACAAAGTTCTTTGTTACCTTTTTCTTATGTTCCACTTTATTCAGATAGATGGTATTTGACACAAATTTTATGAAATCATGATACTGAATCTTGCCAGTGGTGTGTACTTTTTCATGTACAACTCCTGAGAGAGACAGCAATCAATTACATCCATACGTTAGGGAATCTGAAGATGGACTTTCCATATATTTTGGTCAACTACACCTCAGAGTTTCTGTGTCTAGTAAAGTTGTGTATCTGAAAGAAAAACAAATTTGGGTAATAGGACTTGATGCTATCAGAGTGGAGAGTATGAATTTCAAATCAGATTGAGAAGTGTATATTTGGAATGGGGAGAAGTATGACTTACCTCACAATTGACAAAGCAACAGCAAACATGCATCAATCAAACTAAGCTTTACAAGCTTTGCCAGTTGTCGCTGGGTAGTTCAAGAATGTTTTGTGGCAGTCATTTGAAAACATTTGCATGTTATTGTTTCTGTGCAATTGAAGAAAGAGATCAAGTGGCAACTGTAACACGGGAAGTTCTCTATCAGTTTTTATTTATAATCAGTCAATCAATCAAACAAACAAACAAAAAATAGGTCAGTTCTACCCAAGAGAAAAAACAAGAATACTTTAGGTCATACTTTAGGTCAAGCAGCACTATTTTTTTGCTCCAGGCAGGAAATTTTGCATGTTCTTTTCAATTATGTCAGCTGTTTTGCTGGAACATCCTGCTGGCTCTTCCTACAAAGGTTTTTATAAAAAAGCACTTCACAGGAGCATCACAGTATTACAGACCCACGGAGAATCAAAGGTGCATCCTATGAAGGCAACGGCTTTTTTAAAAAAATCATGCTTTCCAGTATATATTTTTTTTCTCTGATGTTTTCTGTATGATGAAGTCTGAGGAAATTGTACTTAGCAGGCACAGGTCTGAAGCCAGCTGTGCGAACACTGCCTCCAGGTGGCTCTGTACGAGGCTACGGCGCTCGGGAGGAGGGGCCCTCTAATGGCTTCTCACATCTGCACGCACGGACACAAACCAGAAGAGCTGTTAATTCCAATTTAACTTCACAACAGGCTTAATTACACCTGTATTTGCTACTTAACAAGGAAGCGTCTTCTTTACAAGAAATGTAAAAGCTAATTAAGTCTCCAGTTGTGCAACATTTTAGTATTGTTTTACTTCCTCAATAAAAGGACTGACTGGACTAAAGTTTTTCCTTGAAAATGGCCAGGTCTGCCGTCATCCTAAAAAAAATCAAATTATATACACTGTAGACAACCATTTTAAATTATAGAGAATGGACAAAGGACAGAAAGGTTGGAACAGGGACAGGACACAGGCAAAGAGGCACCATGTGCAATATTAAATGATGTACAGCACTGCATCTACCACACAACCAGGCAGAATTTAGATGTGATAGGCATGAACATCCATGTCCTCTACAGACACTTCTTTCTGCAAGGGTATACCTTGAAAGGTTTTCCTCTCTTATTTTGGCAAAACTGCCCCATAACTGAACAACAAATTGAGGCTATATTCTTTA